AAGTGTCACATCCATTTTTTATCAATAAATAATCTTCGTATGTAGGTAATGGAAAAGGCTCGAGGTTTGTAATGTCAATGGCTCTTCTTGTTCTATTAGAAGTATAATTATTGGTATTATTCTGTTGTCTCAATATTTTTTCCTGTTTTCTTTTCTCAAATTCTAAATGTTTCTTCATCTTTTCTTCTCTTCGTCTCTCAAATTCTTTCAATTCCATTTCATATTTCTCACGTTGTTCTTTTTCTTGTTGTCTACGCTGATTTTCATAAAATTCTCGACTTGGTGAATTGAGAGCTTGTGGAATAGGTAATTGTTGTGGTTTTTATTGGACGAACAGCAAATCCTTCTTCACTTAAAAAGTAAAGATTGACCACAACTACTTACACTCAGGTTGGATGTGAAACTCAATGCAATCTGGTTTCTACTATTTATCCAAAGCCCATTACTATAAAAACCATCAAGTTGTCCAATTGAGATGTATTCACAATTTTTGGTCTTTGTTGACATCCCAAATTATCACTTCATTGTCTTTAGGAGAGCAATAGCCATTTAAGTAATTACAATTTGAAAGATCAGCTAAAAACATTTGAAGGACGAGTTTGATTGAAATGTCCGAAGACCTTAGTCTCAATAATCACACAATTTTCTTTATAATATCTCTTTGGAGAAAACATGCTAGTGAATCTATTAGGATAATTTTCATCAATTTTATTATTAGTTGACCACACTCCATTAGAACTTTTTTGTAGCGTTCCGTAATCACACTTCTTCGAAGATATCATTTCTCTACACTCTGATATTGTTATTGGCCTATTGTTTATTTCTTTTTTTCAATGAGATGCTCATATCCAGAAAAAAATCAGTGTACATTGACACTTCTGAAATCAATTTCTTACACAACTTTGCTTCACTTAAGTATTCTATGATATTAGGTTTGAATACTTCATACTTCACAACAGAAGTATAATTTTTAAACAGATAATTACACTTTGGTAATTTTGGAATTCTGAAATAATGAATTGGAGAACTAGGAGTACATAAAATTGGTTTAGCTTCTCCTAATTGGAGAATGATCAGAATTACTAAAAAAATGTTAACATTCTCATTAATTATATTTATAATAAATAAAAAAATTTTTCTAAATAAATTAAGAATCTCAGCGAAAGCAAGCTTCCTAGAAGTGTTTGAGAATTACAAAAGATGGCAGAATCAAAGATTCCTAGATCCTTCGCATTAGAAGCTTTCGATAGAATACTCAACATCGATGCTCCAATTATTCAAGATACATCAATTCAAAAAGAAAATTTGATTAGCATATTTCCTTCATCTGGTAGTAGTTTAAATCAACATGGAGAAATTAATTTTATCATAGAAACTTGTGATCAATACCTTCTACTACATAAATCTTACATCTACTTAGAAGCTTCCTTGACTAAGTTAGACTCTACAGCTTTAGCTGAAGGTGATGAAGTTACATTGACTAATAATGCTCCAATGTTTTTATTTGATAGAGCAACTTATAGTATGGATGGTATGCAAGTTGAAAATGTGATTGATCCTGGAAGAGCTTCACTTATGAAAGGCCTCCTTACTTATTCTTCAACAATGAATAAACAAAATACTTTTGGATGGATCCTTGAGACAAAGGATATCATGAATTATAAGATAAATAAATACACTAAAAATAGAAAAGGCTTACTAACCTTTTGTATTCCACTGACTCATATTTTTGGATTCTCGGAGTGTTACAACAAAGTAGTTTATGGAAGAAAGCATCAACTATCGCTCTACAGATCTCCAGAAAACAAGAATTCTATTACTTCCAGTGATCCTACTAAATTTACAGCTAAAATGACTATAAATAAGCTTCAATGGATAATTCCTAAAATTATGCCTTCCTTAGAGATGCAGAACAAACTTCTTAATTTATTTGAAAGTAATAAATTAGTTCAGATGCCTTTTATTTCTAGACAATTTGAGAGTTATAATATTCCTAATGGTAATCGTGAATTTACTTGGAAACTTGGAACTAAATATGATAAAATAAAATACATCGTCATAGCATTTCAGACTGCTAGAGACAATAATTATCTAAATGCTGCTAAATTCGATAATTGTGGGCTTGAAGAAATCTACGTTGAACTCAATAGCGAAAGATATCCATATGAATGTCTAAAATTTGATTTCGATAAATTTAATGCAGTTCAACAATACAATTTTGCTAAAGAATTCAGAAATAGTTATTATGAATCAACGAAGGATTACATTTTTATGGAAGAAGATGTTTATTATTACTATTATCCACTTTTAGTATTTGATGTATCAAAACAGAATGATAGAATTATCTCGAGTAGACCAGATGTTACAATAAAAGCTTCCTTTGCTAAAAACATTGCTCAAAGTACTAAATGTTACTGTCTGATTCTGTCAGAAAATATTGTAGAAATCAAGGATAATAGAGTTAAGGTTGTTAGTGTTTAAGATTTTAAATCTTCCTCTGGAATCCAAGAATTAAATTTATCTGGATATCCATACCACTTGACCAATATTTCTTTTACCATCGTACCGTTTTCCTTTCTATTTCTTTTCCGCAGAACTTTTTCTATTCTATATTCTTCTTTGACATTATTATAAAGTGTAAGTTCCTCAGAGTAAAACTTTCTTTTAATTTCCTCACCTGCTAAATCTTTTATTGAATACATAATTGGATCACCTATTAGAACTTCAGAAATCTTAAATTGCTCTGTACTCCAATTTGGTAGATATCCTTTGTCGAAGATGGCTTTATACTTTGTAATTCTGACAGTATCTCCTATTTTGAATTTTGCTTTGTGCAAGACCTTCGGGAATTTCACTTTTTTATCTTCATTCATTAATTCTAATTCCTTCTTAGGAAACAAGTTATTGAATACTATGCTCTCATTTTCTATTTTTGAAGCCTGCGTGGGAGTCATTTTTATTGAAGTGTGATAATGATTATTATATCCCTAACACAAGATCATCAAGAATGTCTATCCAACGATGATTTCCTTGATGAGTAAATATTTTCCACATTTTTCTCTTTCAAAGTCCTATTAAATCTTTCAACTATTGAAGCTTTTTTTATCTGAATAAGTTGAAAAGTGATTGATTTCTAATGATTTGAAAAGTTTTTTAAGATTTAAATTATAATACTCTTTACCATTATCAGTTTGCATCTTTTTCGGTTTTCTTTTACTTCTACTCATAACGGATTCCAAAGCTAAAGAAGTTTCTTTACCTGTTTTATTTTTTAAAGGAACAACCCACGCAAACTTTGAAAAACAATCAATGATGGTCAAGAGATATTTGTAATCTTTATTCTCCGAGGCATAAGGAATCATTTCTACTAAATCTGATTGCCATTGATCATCTATTCCACTAACGTAAACTCTTTGACTCTTGAAATTCTTACGTGCTGGCTTGTGTAGAGTGTAAACATCTTGTTCATTCAAGAAATCTTTGACCTCTTTGATAGGCTTCTTTGTTATTCTTGCTAACTCATTGATACCACAAAATCCTGTTTTAGGAGAATAATATGCTTTTTCTAAAAGATCTCTTTCACCTTCGGAACTTGTGGGTTGTCTAAGAATTTTAGATTTTTCACTAATTTCAACCTCCTTGATATCTTCTAATCCAGAACCCCCTGTGATTGTTGGAATTAGCTTACATTTCATTGTTTTACAATCTTGGCATAACCCTTTTATCATAGAACGTTTCGAGCTTGTTTCAACATTAAATATGTCAGTAGTATCAGTATATTTTTTACATTTGAAACAATATACTAATTCCATAATTTAGAAGTTAAAATTTTTTGGCTACAAATATCTTATTTGATTTTGTGAAATGGGGGACGTTCAGTGAAAATGGATGTCTTCACTAGAAAGTGAATTCACTTCCACCTAGCCATGAACCCCAAACATGGCTACCTCTTCCGAGGTATTAACTTTTTCACTTGGCTTCAATCAAACAAGATATTTGTTTTTTTCAAAATAAAACAAGAAGATGAAATAACAACAAACATGAAATAAAAAATTAACAACAATCAATGATTATTCACTTTCTCCCCTTCCGGAGAAGTTTCTTCAAGTCGTTACATAGACTGTTTTCTCAGAATTTCGATTGCTCATTTAAGATTTCCTGCTGAAATATATCTTATTCAAAGTTATTAAAAAGTCTTTGGCCTTTTTCGACTTACTTTTTTTCAGCATACCGTCTTGAATCTTTCTCCTTGTTAAACATAATAAAATATCTGGTCAGTGAACACATCTTTCACTGTTCGAAGAGATTCACTAATTTCGTTAAATTGATTTTTGTAGTAAAACCTGCAAATAATAAATAATCTAGTGTATCAAACAGAATAGACTTACCAGTTCTTTCTGTTCACTTTTACACTTTCTATGGAGAAGTAGAGATTTCTTGACACGAGAAGCATCCTCCATCTTAGAAGAAAATATTGAACTTTTTAAAAAAACATCTTCAAAATGCAATAACAACACAAAAACTGAAGAAATTCTGCGACGCAAATCGTTCTCAAATGAGACACTTCGTTCTTTCATACCTGTTTGCCAGCACCTTCGAGAAGGTTTGAGTGTAACCAAACTCGTCGAGTTCTAGATCTTACAGATTGATCATTCTCTCTTTTTCTCCTTCAGTTCTTGCCTTTGGTGTGACATATAAAAGTCAGCAGTGTTCCCTTTCTCGATGTTTAACTTTCTCCATGCTCCTGGAGAATGCTACATTTTTCAATGCAGATATATGGCAACCGGGCATTTTTCATTAACAGAAAGGATCACCCACAACAACCTACTATCTTGTCAAATGTATAATCCGACTCTCGCTCTGTCTTTTCTTATCGTTGCAATCCATATCTACCCTTTTGAGAGCGAATGGGGGCAAGGTCAATTGGTGTAAGGGAAAGGAATTTGCCCCGCCTAGATGTAGATAGATTTAGATGTCAGTAATACAAAGGCCAGCGTGTGATGATGATAGGTCTATTGCTGTTGCTACTTCCTACTCTTTCACTTACTTCTACAGCCGCTCCATTTTTTCAACACGTACTCATGGATGTTACTAACTGCGTCAACCTGCGATGCGAGTGGCGAGGAGTAGGAAACCATTGCAAATCTGCTACGGCCCTCCAAACGGTTAGCGAACCAACTTTTAATTATTATATCAACATAAATATTTAAGGATGGTTATGGACATTATTTCGAATTTCTTAACGACGACGAGTCAGATGACGATCTTCTCACTCGCATAAAGGTTAGTAGAAATAGTAGAGATAGGCTCCTGCTCATATAGCTCCATTATCTCCTAAAATGGAATAACTCTTCCACCAGAAGGAATAAATGAAAAAAAATTTCAGCGTCGTCATCCTCTAAATACGTTTATGATCGTGAACAACGCTGAACTGGGTGAAATGTGTAAGGGGAGACGACTGTGGTGCAATGTAGCCCAACAGTCTCTTGGCCCAAGAGCTTACGAGGAGTTCTTCGAATATCTTCTAAGCCCTGGCATTCCCATCGCCCTCAGACCAAAGTTACACTGTTAAATCCAAGTAATTATGTACGCTTGTTGTTGTTTTTGTCCGTTTACTTCAGAATTGCATTGTGATAAATAAAAATAACATTTTTCTTGTTTTTCGTTAAATGTTAAACATCGAATGAAATGGGACGACGAGATTCCCTAGAATGGAAGGGTGATTCAACACTTTGTCGGATATTTTGTCTTCGATTCACAACATTTGCTTCAATTTTCCTGTTGTTTTGTCTATATTCTTCGCTATATAAGTTCATGGAAAGAATCCTCAATTCCTCCACTGTCTCCAAAAATGGAAATTATCAAACTTCTTGTCGTCTTATGTTTCTTACAAATCTGCTCAGCAAACTATAAGGTAAGGCAAACTAAACATCTTGCTAGAATTCTAGAAAGTGCCTTTCCCCATAGTATATTCCATTGATCTTTACAAACTCATGATTCAATTAAGAACTGCGAATGGGTGCCTACGTTTGCATGTGGCGGAGAAGTGCTTAGCTGTATTGGGCGTGTTAAAGTCGGAAGAAATGCACACAGTTCCGAAGAAGCGAAAATAGTTGAGAAAGAGGTTCAGGTGAGTAGAGTTTTAATGTCTGTGTTTACTTGCTTCTTTCACCCTCATATCACCGCTTATAGCTGTTCATCGAAATAGTTGGAATAAGATGAGCTTTTCCAAGAAAGAAACATTTAAAAATTTTCAGGAAGGCTTGAAGCCTTGGAGACAGGAAATCATCGATGCGATTAAAGAATACATAGGAGAATGTTCATTCGACCCCAAGCTGTCTTCCTTGGTCCAAGGTCAAAAGCTCTGCTGTGACTTCACGCTTTAAATGTCTGTTCTCATGCATTCGATAAACGATCAAAAGATACTAATAATTTTAAAAGTAATAAACAATAATAATCACAATGATGTGTTCCAAATTCTTGAATTTGAAATGTTGACAATTCGATGACTGATTTTTTATCTTTAGCTTTCGAGGTTTTCAAATATTGTTGAAGTTCTGATGGTGGATCTAGTCCGAACGAATCAAAATAATAAATATTTTTCTTTTATTCTTGGAGTAGCAAACCCAATGAGTTCCTTTTATTATTAGAAGAGTCTAGATTGACAATACCAACTTCTTTTTTTCTCCAATTCCTTCACTCGGCAAAGTGTCTCGCATAAAAAAACACCACGGAAATTCTTGATCTTTAGTGTGTCTACTAATTCTAAGAGATCATAATTTGTCAGAGGTTTAAGATTTTTGGGGAAAGCTCATTTAATAGCAATAAAAACATTGAAAAGTCTCAAAAAATTGAAATTGGGCAAAATGGGTAAGTGGTGCGCCAGACAAATTTTGGTCATTTTTCAAAAATGACACATTTTGGGGAAATTAAGTATGATTTTCAATGAAAAAATGTTTTTAAAATGTTGAAAATCTGCAAAATCGCATTTGGGCAAAAAAGGTGCGCCAGCGTCAACCTTTTGTATATTATTCAATCAAAATGACGGATAAAAAGAAATTTAACGGTACGGAAATCTTTGTGCAAAACCAATCGAACTCAAAACGGCGAATTCGCGATGTTCAAGCTTTGATTGATTGATGTCCCATTTGAAAAAAAATCATATTTTCATTTCAACTTGAAACGAAAAATTACTGAGTGGGTGAACTTTGAAGTGCTAGAGAAAAGTGCTGAAAGTTGCCACCATCATACATTTTTTTCCTTTTTAAAAAGGTTTACACATCGTGTTCATTAAAAACCGCCTAAAAAAAAATATAAACTGTGAATTTTTCCGACTAGTGAACATAATTTTGCGCCCGGTTTTACTTCCAATCGAATCTATTTGGAATGTATTTTTAAATCTTAGATGAACTTCTCATTTCAGAATTTTTTTCAATGGCTTGTCTTCGATTAATGAAGCTTCGATGATTTCTATGTACGCAATTCATGACAAAAGAACGCTATTACTAGTTTTTGGAACGTCTCAACTCATCAACCAGATGCGAAAATTATATTATTTTTTTGGAATCAGGAGGTTCTGAAGTACACTTCGGCAAAGTTTCATCAAATATTCAACCAAGGGCTGAACAATTTTTTTGTGAGTTGCAAAATTAAGATCTTTTTCTGTTTTCAAAGTGCAAAATGAAACTAACTCTTACGAGATTTTGTTGGAAAAATACTTTTCATTTATTTGGGATGATGGATCAAAAACTCGCCAAAACACCTATTCCTTTTTTTTTCAAAGTATGTCTCAGAAGTTCGCAGACGCAAGTGGGGGGATAAGGAACGGCTGAAAATGCTCTGCAAAAAGTATTACCAATAAAAATCGGAATTTTTTCTTGATTCTGTCTCCATTTCACCTGGCAGCTCTTATTTCAAAGATATCCCGGGAAGTTCATTGTTTGCGAGGTTGCTAAAATTATATTATTTTTTTCTGAAGTTACAAAAAGCAATTTTTTTCAACCGCCGATTGAGAGAATTGAGGAAATGTAATATTCCATCATTTTATCACAGAATATGAACTGATCAATTTCTTCAGGCTCTAATAGGAATCTAAATGAGCTATTTCTGACATTCTACTCAATCCGCCCATTCACAGTAAATGTTTCTAACTTTATTCATACCTTTTCGAGTTTATAAAATTTTAACGCGTGAATAGAATAGGCCTATGAGAATTCTTATAGTAAATCATTTCGATTCCAAGTTACATAACAAAACCGTGTTTGAAATGGCAACTTAGGAAGCTCAGAACCAATGTGCAGACTTTCGAAGGCAAAAATGATCACAAGGCCGATTTGTAGAATATTACGCCGCAATACGGGAGGTCATTTTACTTTGCGGTTTAAAATTAGCAAAAAGATCTTTCGAATACTCTGTAGGTCAAAACGAAGAAAGTCAATACCTGGCCCAATTTCCAGTTTTTGAAATAAGTTGGGAAAGTTGGTCCTAAAACCAATATTTTGCAAACTTGAACCATTCCGTGTAAAATCTTCACTCGAAGTGGTCGCTCTCATTCTGAGGCTCCACCTAGAGCACGGTCTCCGGGCTCCAGCTCAACATCCACAACATTCTGAGCTCGTCAAGGCGCAACTGGATGGACTACGCGCAGAAGGACGAGGCGAAGGACCGTAAGACCATGCGTTCAACTCTTTCGACTACACGTTTGGACTTCTAGTTCGCCAAAGGCGGTTGTTCGTTACAGCTTTTGAAGTTCTTGTTCACCGCCTAGTCGATTACATCAGACTAAAACAACAAAATAAATGATTTGATTGATTGATTGATTCTATCTTTATACCCCTAAGTTTACCAAGGTAGCGACAACGAGGGATTTTCATCAATGCCTTCAGAGAACTATTGAGCAAATGTGTAGAATATTCCGCACCGCAAAAAGAAATAATAGCTCTTGTGAGATGAACTCACTTTGTCCTACCTTCGATTCTTGAAAGTTTTTCAATGAACAAAATGAAGATTCCAAAAGTCTACGTGCCTAGGCAATTTATCAAAAGAAAGTTGAAAAAGAGCTCTGTCGGCCAGCTTTTGATGATATTTTTGGGTTTATAGGGTTTTGTTTTCACTTGTATGTTATTTGGTGCATCAAGGAATTTCACAGCAACCTTTCGAAAAAATTCAAGATAAGATGACCTTCTTCTCAACTCATTGATAGTTATTGGAACGGAGCTCAAAATGTATCCTAAACGACATTTCCTTCGAAAAAAAGCAGTTTACTGTAAAGGAAGAGAGGAGTTCAATGAATGTACAGACATGAGAAAACTCGATCTCATGAGACTAAGCGGTCGAGGGGAAGGAACGAAAAGGTATATTCTTTGAAAACCCCCAAGCATTTATCAACAAGTTGTCAAATTACGGCCTTCCTTGCCGCGTCTTACTTCCACCCCTCAATTACAACTGCGGTTCTCTAACAGCGGCTGTGCACGGATTTATTTCATGTGAATGTTGGACTTTTATTTCTTATGAATCAAACGGCGCTCAGAGAAGGCTGCAGGTTTTCTTCTCGTGAAACGGATTATTCAGTTCGTCGGTTACTCCAGTCACAAGGACGTCCTTCTCCTTGTTCTGTTCGCAGAACTCGATGAGGCTGAAAAAAAATTATGAGATGTGTAAAATCCAACAAGTTTCGTAAATAACCTCGCCTCGGAAAAAAAAAACTCACTCTTTGGAGACGACAGACACCTTCTCGCGGTTTATTTTGACCTCAAGCTGAAGTTGATTAGTGATCGCCTTGGCTCTTTCCATCTCGCTAGCCAGCAGAAACCGTCAGTAAGAGTACAATGGAAAGTTTAGAAGTGAAACTTAAGTTGAGATAGTTGGTAGGGGTGACATGTTTCACATTAACTCTGTAGTTTGCGTGTCAATTAGCTGTTATCGTTCTCTCGACGGAGTTGCTATGATACCAGTAAAAAAAACTGTTTTCTAAAAAAACAAACTCTTTTCGAAATGTCCCTTAGTCACGAATACTTTCCAGAAAGAAAATAATTTGGATTTCAGCTTCGAAAAACGCCTCTACTTACAAGCCAAATGGACAGCTTTTATCAAATAGATTGAATCAGGATGTTGGGAAACGCCACTGACGATAGTTTCATCAATTTCCCTTTTTTCAGTGTATCAAAATACTTCCATACATTTTTTTCAGACCGTTTTGAATTCAGCTTTCCGTGAAAAAGTTGAAAGCTCAAAATTCAGTGAGAATTCGCTCCATTCCGCCAACCACTTTTAGAAATATCTTGCTTACATTTTCTACGAAAAGTTTAGTACTATTATGATAAACTCTTTCGAACACGCTATTGTCTTTAATCACTCATGTAAACGATGACTGATCTTGGGAACCACAAAAAAGTTAATTATCACAAGACAATGCTGACGAAATTGAACAATTTTAATTTTTAATTGATGGAGTGTCCGTGTATTTTCTTCACTCGAAGTGGTAGCTCTCTCAGTCGGCCGAGGCTACCCTAGAGTGTACACGGAGACCGTGCCCGAGCCCCACCATCACCGCCGTGCCCGTACAAGCGAAACTGAGGGATCAACTTGTGGAAGAACGAGGCGAAGGACCGTAAGACCATGCTTTCCATTCAATCGACTACACGTTGTTTTGACTTCTTTTTCGCCAAAGGCGGTGTTAGTGCCGCTCAAAAGAGCAATTTTTTCACCGCCTAGTCGATACCATCTGACTAAAACAACCAATAAATATTGTATTGTATGTATTGTATTGAGATCCAAAGTAGTAAAAATTTCGGAAAAAAACTGCAAAAAAAAACAATGAAGGGATTCAATTGAAAACTGGAACAAGAAAAACGGAAACTAGATGATTTTTTCTGGTTTAAAAAAGGCATGGTTCTCCAGTTCTTATAACCAGGATACATGCTTCAGGTCAAGTTATAAAAAAACTTATGTAATAATAAAAACAAACGAATTCCCTTATTTATCTCAGTTTTTGTGAAAATAAATTTTTTTCACAAAAAAACCACGAAAAAAATAAAAAAATCTCAATACATAATATGGAAAAAAATAAATAAAAATCCTTTTTTTAAGTGGATGGAAGAATGAAAGGTCAGATTGACAATCGCTAGAGCCTTTTTCAAATGTTTGACCCATCGACCCGACTGATTTAAAATTTGCCCCCTTTTCTTTCGACACGTCCGTCGTTTGCACAGTGATAATGTACTCCCTTTCTCTCTTCTTCTCGGTTTGCCTTCGTCTTTTCTGATGTTGATGCGTTTGAGCGTAGTCCGTATTGAGATCCAGCTGGCTCAATTTAAGGTAATAATCTTCATCTTCTTTTCTCTCTTGTTTCTCTGAAAAACATTATTGTTGTATAAAGATATCAGAAAAGAATACTTTTTTCTCCATCTTTCATTCATAATGAGCACTAAAGTAATGAATATCTTGAAGAAAAAATCAAGAAGTTTTCATTTTAACTATTTTACCTTTTTTTGACAGCCAGGGAAAGGTCCCAGGGTACTCGTTTTGCATGGCAGAGAGTTTGTGAGAATGAACGACGGCGGCTCCTAAACTCCAATTTTTTGTTCAAACAATATATCACTACTTCTGAAATGCGGAGAAATGGAATGAAAACTTCCAATGATCTCGTACACATCCGATATTCGAAACTTACCATGAGTAGTCTTTTGCGGATTGATCACGCGAGAAGGACAGGCCGAAATTGAACGGAAACCTAAACTTCCTAAATAAGTTTCGTGGCTTACATAACATCATACGATGTTTTTTTAGATTTATTCGAACAATTTTTCCCTAGTTTTTGAAGAGCGCTGGTCAATAAAAAAATATCTTCTGGACCTCATGTGTTCAGAAAAAAACAAAGGAATTGAAAAACTTTGTTGTGAAAAAGCCTATTCATCTGAACTTTCAAACAATTTCTTACTTTTTTGTAGAAGTTTTTCCATTTTTTTCTCATCATTTTTGTTTTTGTTAAAATAATTACCTTTGTTGTCCAAGTTCGACGAGGATCTCCCTTGACGACGGGACTCCATATCTTTGCAATTGAAGTTGCTAAGGTTGCGGTTGCCGCTCATAATCTTCTAAATGTTCAATAGAAACATGTTCATTGACGAAAAGCGGAACAACTAAATAACGAAGAAAAAAAAAATCAACATCGAATCACTATTTGTTGGAAGCACGGCAAATTTAATTTTCAAAACAAAAAGGCTTCAACAAACTATCAGTTTCCTACTCTTTGTTCAAAACATTTGGACAAGGTTATTCAACTTTAAAAATAGTATATATATTGCTCGTTTAAGTCTCAGCGGCACTTTTTTCCAGCGGGAGCTCAGGGAAAAAGTTATTACTAACTTCAAAACAAGTTTTCACTCCACTCACAGTGTTTGATTAGTGTTCCTCAATATAATAAGATACTTCCTAATCAATATTGTGACAGATCAAGCGAAAAAAAAACAAGGGGAAATTCGACTAGCTGTCCAAGCTCCAAAAATCGAAATTTAAACTTTTTTTATCTTTCATAACAACATGAAATTATCACAAGTTGAACTCTGACTATAGAAATAATCTTATAAATACGAAAAACTAAATGGCAAAAGCTTTAATTTTGTTGAAATGAGGCCAAAAACTGAAAAATATCAAGTGCTGGCCAGAATTTTGAGTTATCAGTCAGTTTTCGCATGCAACTACTTCAGAAACGTTGGAAACTTATGAACATTTCAGAAGGAAAGAAAAAACATAAAATATAATAAATCAAAATGAAAAACATAAAAAAAATGAAAACTGCGTGTGAAATTTGAAAAAGAGAGAAGGGGAGGAAGTGTTATGCGTGCACTCGACGCAAAGCGGAACTTTAGGCGTAAGCCCGTTTTTTTGAGCGTTTTTTTCATGTTATAAGTCAGTTTCTATTACTTGACTTGAGTTTATATGAAATTTATATGGGCCTTAAAAAATAATATACACAGAAAAAACTTGATTTGACAATAATTTAGAACGGAAAAGTGCATTGAAAGGCTTTTCACGAGAGTTTCTCTTTGCTGATGGCTTTTGAAGCGTTGTATCGTAACTTTTTATCTGGTAATCAGCCAAGAAGGAGTCTTTAACTCTTTGAAACGAGACCGATACTGGTAAATCCGGTTCTAAACAATCTCATTGACAGTTTTCTAACTTCCGGAATACAAAAAATTCACCACAAGTAGTCACTGGTTGTTATTAAACTAGTAATAATGTAGAATTATCTGAATTCAAACCATCATGTTTGAATTTCCTATTCACAGAGCGATGCACTAGGCAACTGCTCTGTTCATTTGAATTTTTCTTGCTATTTTTGCTTTTTTCTGTGATGAATATCAACTTTTAGTTTAGTTCATTATATTACAAGACTTTAAAACTTATCGTCATGACTTTTTTCCATTCGAAAACGCCAAAAAAAGCGATCCAAATGAGCAACTTTCGTTAAAAGCCTTTTAATGCCCTTTTCCGTTCTAAATTATTGTCAAATCAAGTTTTTTCTGTGTCTATTATTTTTGTAGACTTAAATAATTTTTATATAAACTCAATTTGAGTGATAGAAACTGACTTCCAACATGAAAAAGGCCCAAAAACGGGCTTACGCCTAAAGTTCCGTTTTGCGTCGAGTGCACGCATAACACTTCCTCCCCTTCTCTCTTTTCAAATTTCACACGCAGTTTTCATTTTTTTATGTTTTTTTCATTTTGATTTATTATATTTTTATGTTTTTTCTTTCCTTCTGAAATGTTCATAAGTTTCCAACGTTTCTGAAGTAGTTGCATGCGAAAAACTGACTGATAACTCAAAATTCTGGCCAGCACTTGATATTTTTCAGTTTTTGGCATCATTTCAACAAAAATAAAGCTTTTGCCATTTAGTTTTTCGCATTTATGAGATTATTTCTATAGTCAGAGTTCAACTTATGACACTTTCATGTTGTTATGAAAGATAAAAAAAGTTTAAATTTCGATTTTTGTAGCTTGGACAGCTAGTCGAATTTCCCCTTGTTTTTTTTTCGCTTGATCTGTCACAATATTGATTAGGAAGTATCTTATTATATTGAGGAACACTAATCAAACACTGTGAGTGGAGTGAAAACTTGTTTTGAAGTTAGTAATAACTTTTTCCCTGAGCTCCCGCTGGAAAAAAGTGCCGCTGAGCCAATACATTTTTTGAAAATGCGTTCAGCCAAAAAATTTTCTATTCATGAGGTGTTTTTTTTTGACATCTGATACCACGGTAATCTGTTTCAGTCTGAGAAAGCTTTTTAGCGGTGTATCAAAATTTTTTACCCCCGAAAACAGCCAAAAAAAAAACTCTCCACTCTTTGGTTGAAGGCCGATACTTGTAAATCCGGTTCTAAACAATCTCATTGACAGTTTTCTAACTTTCGGAATACAAAAAATCCACCACAAGTAGTCACTGGTTGTTGACAAATAAGTAATAATGTAGAATTACCTGAATTCGAACCATCGTGTTTGAATTTCCTATGCACAGAGCGATGCACTAGGCAACTGCTCTGTTCATTTGGATTTTTTTCTTGCTATTTTTTTGCTTTTTTTCTGTGATGAATATCAACTTTTTAGCTCAGTTGATTGAATGAGAAGACTTGAAAAACTTATTTTTCATGACTTTTTTTCCCTTTCGAATACGCCAAGAAAAAGCGGTGCAAAAGAGAAACTTTCGTGAAAAGCCTTTGAATGTCCTTTTTTTCGTTCCGAATCACAGTCAAATCAAGTTTTTTTCTGTGTCTATTATTTTTTTGTAGACTTAAATAATTTTTTTATAAACTCAATTTGAGTGATAGAAACTGACTTCCAACATGAAAAAAAGGCCCAAAAAAACGGGCTTACGCCTAAAGTTCCGTTTTGCGTCGAGTGCACGCATAACACTTCCTCCCCTTCTCTCTCTTTTCAAATTTCACACGCAGTTTTTCATTTTTTTCCATGTTTTTTTCATTTTGATTTATTATTTTTTTATGTTTTTTTCTTTCCTTCTGAAATGTTCATAAGTTTCCAACGTTTCTGAAGTAGTTGCATGCGAAAAACTGACTGATAACTCAAAAATTCTGGCCAGCATTTGATATTTTTCCAGTTTTTTTGCCCTCATTTCAACAAGAATAAAGCTTTTTTTCCATTCAGTTTTTTTGCACATTTAAGACTATTTCTGTGGTCAGAGTTTAACTTTCATAATTTCGTGTTGTTTTGAATGATAAAAAAAGTTTAAATTTCGATTTTTGTAGCTTGGACAGCTAGTCGAATTTCCCCTTGTTTTTTTTTCGCTTGATCTGTCACAATATTGATTAGGAAGTATCTTATTATATTGAGGAACACTAATCAAACACTGTGAGTGGAGTGAAAACTTGTTTTTGAAGTTAGTAATAACTTTTTTTCCCTGAGCTCCCGCTGGAAAAAAAGTGCCGCTGAGCCAATACATTTTTTTGAAAATGCGTTCAGCCAAAAAAATTTTCTATTCATGAGGTGTTTTTTTGACATCTGATACCACGGTAATCTGTTTCAGTCTGAGAAAGCTTTTTTTAGCGGTGTATCAAAATTTTTTTACCCCCGAAAACAGCCAAAAACTCTCCACTCTTTGGTTGAAGGCCGATACTTGTAAATCCGGTTCTAAACAATCTCATTGACAGTTTTCTAACTTTCGGAATACAAAAAATCCACCACAAGTAGTCACTGGTTGTTGACAAATAAGTAATAATGTAGAATTACCTGAATTCGAACCATCGTGTTTGAATTTCCTATGCACAGAGCGATGCACTAGGCAACTGCTCTGTTCATTTGGATTTTTCTTGCTATTTTTGCTTTTTTCTGTGATGAATATCAACTTTTAGCTCAGTTGATTGAATGAGAAGACTTGAAAACTTATTTTCATGACTTTTTCCCTTTCGAATACGCCAAGAAAAGCGGTGCAAAAGAGAAACTTTCGTGAAAAGCCTTTGAATGTCCTTTTTTCGTTCCGAATCACAGTCAAATCAAGTTTTTTCTGTGTCTATTATTTTTGTAGACTTAAATAATTTTTATATAAACTCAATTTGAGTGATAGAAACTGACTTCCAACATGAAAAAGGCCCAAAAACGGGCTTACGCCTAAAGTTCCGTTTTGCGTCGAGTGCACGCATAACACTTCCTCCCCTTCTCTCTCTTTTCAAATTTCACACGCAGTTTTCATTTTTTCCATGTTTTTCATTTTGATTTATTATTTTTTATGTTTTTTTTTTCTTTCCTTCTGAAATGTTCATAAGTTTCCAACGTTTCTGAAGTAGTTGCATGCGAAAACTGACTGATAACTCAAAATTCTGGCCAGCATTTGATATTTTCCAGTTTTTGCCCTCATTTCAACAAGAATAAAGCTTTTTCCATTCAGTTTTTTGCACATTTAAGACTATTTCTGTGGTCAGAGTTTAACTTTCATAATTTCGTGTTGTTTTGAATGATAAAAAAAGTTTAAATTTCGATTTTTTTGTAGCTTGGACAGCTAGTCGAATTTCCCCTTGTTTTTCGCTTGATCTGTCACAATATTGATTAGGAAGTATCTTATTATATTGAGGAACACTAATCAAACACTGTGAGTGGAGTGAAAACTTGTTTTTGAAGTTAGTAATAACTTTTTTTCCCTGAGCTCCCGCTGGAAAAAAAGTGCCGCTGAGCCAATACATTTTTTTGAAAAATGCGTTCAGCCAAAAAAATTTTTCTATTCATGAGGTGTTTTTTTGACATCTGATACCACGGTAATCTGTTTCAGTCTGAGAAAGCTTTTTAGCGGTGTATCAAAATATTTTACCCCCGAAAACAGCCAGAAAAAAACTCTCCACTCTTTGGTTGAAGGCCGATACTTGTAAATCCGGTTCTAAAAAATCTCATTGACAGTTTTCTAACTACCAAAATACAGAAAATCTACCACAAGCAGTCACTGGTTGTTATTAAACTAGTGATAATGTAGAATTATCTGAATTCAAACCATCATGTTTGAATTTCCTATGCACAAAGCGATGCACTAGGCAACTGCTCTGTTCATTTGGATTTTTCTTGCTATTTTTGCTTTTTTCTGTGATGAATATCAACTTTTAGCTCAGTTGATTGAATGAGAAGACTTGAAAACTTATTTTCATGACTTTTTCCCTTTCGAATACGCCAAGAAAAGCGGTGCAAAAAGAGAAACTTTCGTGAAAAAGCCTTTGAATGTCCTTTTTTTCGTTCCGAATCACAGTCAAATCAAGTTTTTTTCTGTGTCTATTATTTTTTTGTAGACTTAAATAATTTTTTTATAAACTCAATTTGAGTGATAGAAACTGACTTCCAACATGAAAAAGGCCCAAAAACGGGCTTACGCCTAAAGTTCCGTTTTGCGTCGAGTGCACGCATAACACTTCCTCCCCTTCTCTCTCTTTTCAAATTTCACACGCAGTTTTCATTTTTTCCATGTTTTTCATTTTGATTTATTATTTTTTATGTTTTTTTTTTCTTTCCTTCTGAAATGTTCATAAGTTTCCAACGTTTCTGAAGTAGTTGCATGCGAAAAACTGACTGATAACTCAAAAATTCTGGCCAGCACTTGATATTTTTTTCAGTTTTTTTGGCCTCATTTCAACAAAAAAATAAAGCTTTTTTTCCATTCAGTTTTTTTGCACATTTAAGACTAGTTCTGTGGTCAGAATTTAACTTTCATAATTTCATGTTGTTTTTGAATGATGAAAAAAAGTATAATATTCGATTTTTTTCAACTTTGACAGCTAGTCGAATTTCCACTTGTTTATTTTTTTCGCGTAATCTGTCACAATATCGCATAGGGAGCATTTCAATACGTATAAAAAAACAATCTGTCAAGAAACGAAAATCATTTTTGAGTGTAAAATAGAACAGTTTGTTAAGTTTTGAGTACTAAATTGAATAATTTCGCTTCATTTTTTTGTGGTTTCGACCGCGTTCAGAAGCTTTTTTTGTAACTGACTCGAATAAACTTAAACGAGCAATATATATACTATTTTTTTAAAGTTGAATAACCTTGTCCAAATGTTTTGAACAAAGAGTAGGAAACTGATAGTTTGTTGAAGCCTTTTTGCTTTGAAAATTAAATTTGCCGTGCTTCCAACAAATAGTGATTCGATGTTGATTTTTTTTTTCTTCGTTATTTAGTTGTTCCGCTTTTCGTCAATGAACATGTTTCTATTGAACATTTAGAAGATTATGAGCGGCAACCGCAACCTTAGCAACTTCAATTGCAAAGATATGGAGTCCCGTCGTCAAGGGAGATCCTCGTCGAACTTGGACAACAAAGGTAATTATTTTTAACAAAAACAAAAATGATGAGAAAAAAATGGAAAACTTCTACAAAAAAAGTAAGAAATTGTTTGAAAGTTCAGATGAATAGGCTTTTCACAACAAAGTTTTCAATTCCTTTGTTTTTTTTTCTGAACACATGAGGTCCAGAAGATATTTTTTATTGACCAGCGCTCTTCAAAACTAGGGAAAATTGTTCGAATAAATCTAAAAAACATCGTATGATGTTATGTAAGCCACGAAACTTATTTAGGAAGTTTAGGTTTCCGTTCAATTTCGGCCTGTCCTTCTCGCGTGATCAATCCGCAAAAGACTACTCATGGTAAGTTTCGAATATCGGATGTGTACGAGATCATTGGAAGTTTTCATTCCATTTCTCCGCATTTCAGAAGTAGTGATATATTGTTTGAACAAAAAATTGGAGTTTAGATCAATAGTGTAATATCAAACAGTTTTTGAAATCTACTGTTTTACTGGAGGAACAGCCAAAGTCTTATTTCTCATCAAATGTTCCAGTTCAGAAGAATGGAAATCTTTTTTTTTTACTCAAATTCAGGCTGAAACTTTCAACTTTCGGTTTTCTCCAACAGTGCTATTAAAAGAGCTATGTCTCATCATCACGAGAATCTATACAAAGAAAGAAAGAATAATAAGTAACTCGTTAAAAAAAGTTTCGAAAGTTTAAATTATATAGAGAAATTGAACGAGTTTTTTTATAAGTTTGTAAAAAAATAGTTCCTTTCAAGCGACGAAAATTGTGATATAGTCAAAAAAATTTACCTATTACAAACATTAGAAATAATCAATCAAAAATTATTCTTTTTCTTGAAAATACTACAAATCTTACAAACGTCAAAACTCAATACTTTGGCTCTGTGAGGGTATTTGCGCTCCAAGGAGAACATTTTCTTTGTCCGTGGACTACATTGTTTCCATGTTTCTTCAAACTCTTTTTCCTTTTATTCTATTTATTTAAAAGTCATTCTTTGAGTTTCAGGTGGTCGAAAACCTTTTGCAGTATGGACCGAAGGACTTCATGCTCTTGGAAAATGTGGTCGCACATTTTGCGCGACCATACGTCCTGGATCTGAAAATTGGGACCAGGTGGACTTTAGTAACTCTTCTAGAATGTTGAAAAGTGAACGAGCAATATCGCTTGTTGAAATTTTTGGTTTCTATTTGTTATTTTGTGACGAACATCTTGAATATAATTGGGAGTTTTGAGACAACATGGTGACAACTCCTCGAAGGAAAAAAGAGAGCAGGCAATCCTGAAATGCAAGTTGTCGACCTCCGGGAAACTGGGAGCTCGATTGGTCGGCATGCAGATGTACGATGCTACAAACAAGGTTTTTTTTTGAATAGACCTCCTCGGGACGTTTTTCTCCGTTTCTCTTCTTTGATTGGACTATACCTTTTTTCCTGACTTGATCTTTTTAGAAAAAAATGATGTGTTTTTTTAGGAGTACGTTTACATCGAGAAACAAGAAGGCCGCACGATGAGTGCGGAACAGTTCTTCGTCTACTGCGGTGGCTTTGCGAAAGCCTGCGGACCCTTGCGATCTCTGAAAATTCGAGACAAGTAGGGGAGAAGCTTTTTTTGTTTTATAATTATCCAAACAGACTGCAAGCTCTCAAGAATGTTCTGATGAACTTGGAAGGCTATCGCTTCTTCTCAGCCTCGATTTTTGGTGGCTTTTCGACGCTGAAGCCGTCGACTCGGCAGACGAAGACGCCGTTTGCGTCAAACTTATCGACTTTGCCAACTCGACCCTGCCTGGGTTCTTCAGTGTCAGTTGAAAGATATTTTTCAATTTGACTGAAAGAACACGGCTCATAGCATCTTTCATTCAACACACAATTTTTTTAATTTGACCAACAATTTTTTTCCAAAATTCGCCGGTTTTTTTACGCAGAAACGGCTGAAAACGGTCACAGATTTTTTTCAGAGATTCGCACATTTTTCTGAACTCTTCCTCATTTTTTTCTTGGTAGACTAGCACAACAAGAATAAAAAAAGCTGGTTGGAAGCAAAAAAAAGATTATGTATGAAACTTTCAGGATATTGTCCCCGGAGGCGTCGACGATGGTGGCATTTGGGGCGTTGAGAATATCATCAAGGCGATGGAAATCGAGCCGGATTCCGCTCCGACTGAGGTCAGTAATAGTTTTCAAAGAATTCCTCAATGAATCTCACATCCGCACATTGATAAATCCGTTCAGACTTGAAAGTAAAGGTCTATAGAAAGATCTATTTCAACAACTTCATTTTAAAGGACTCTAATAAACAACGCACAGGCGTTATACAAATAATTATGTTTTTTTAAATAATAACTAAATAAATATCTTTCACTTTCAGGAAAAAAAGGTTCGGCGAAATAAGTCGACTCGCACGAAAGTGTCTTTTTCGGAAGGCCAATTTCAAGCATGTATCCCATTTTTCCCTATGTTATTAAACCTTAAAAAAAGTTCCTTCTAAAAATTCTGTGATCTGTCTATCCCGAATAAAAAAATAATACATTTCAAAAGGATGCCTTTACGGTTTCTCACCTACTTTCTTCTACATGAAAATGCTAGCCACTTTTATTTGAATCCTGATGATTGTTGTATTGTATCTTTCATGTGCAATGTTTTCTTGTATTTCCTGTGCGATTGCAATTCGTAAAGAATGTTGATAAAGCTTTATTGAGAAAATCTTACGTTTGGCCATTTTTGAAGAAGAAGCAAACAGTTACCGAAGGAAGGAGAAAATTGAACGTTTCTCAGAAGTTTTCACCGAGAAAAGTACATAAATGAGATAAATTGGAATTAACTTTGTTAATCATGCTGGAAAAAAAATCCAGAAATGGAAGTCTATGAAAGGTTGAGCTCGTAGAATATACGTATTGATAGAAGAGGAAAGAGGGATTGAAATAAATAAATGCGAGTTGAATAGATGTCATTAAAGAAAATCTATTCTCAAAAAAATTGACACGTCGCAAGGATATTGTTAATACTTCCCAATTTCCTAAAAATATATAAAAAGAAAATTATCCAAAATGGGACACGCCAATAGAAAAAAAGCTCACAGGAAAGTTAATCAGATTCAAAGTTAAATATGAACTTCATTTTTTAGTTTTGTTAATTTAAAAAAAAATAACATTACAAAAATTAAAAATGTCGTTCTGGGAAATTATCGAATAGGATTTTTCAAAACAATATTAATGGGTAAACATTTTACATATATCGAGGGCTGGCTTTGTCTGAAACGGAGTTTATAAAGCGGAGCACGCGATCGGGAAGTTCAAGAGAGAAATTATCATGGTTCATTCAAACATATAAAACTACACAAAAAAATAGAAATTTTTTTATCATAATAAATCAAAAATTCAGAGGGGGAAATGATTTTTTTATTGATAAAATATCTTTGATTCATTTTTTTGCTAGTTATCAGTTTTTAAATCTGTTCGAAAAAAATATGAGGATAATTTATGAAGGCATTTCAAAAAAACAGTAACAAATATTTTTAGGCCTAGTGCAACATACTCTTCAAAAAAGAAGTATCAAGCCGTGCTCCTAGGTTGAAAAAAAATCAAGGAACAAAAATCCGCGAGAATTAAAACTTCGAAAACTTCCAGTCCCCACAGAAGCGCCGTTTTTTATGAACAGCTTTTTTTGACTAAGTGATCAGAATTCTATAATTCTAACTTATGTACATTTCTTCAGACTCAAAGCTACACAATTTTTAGACAAACAAATCTCATAGTTATTTTGAGAGTGCGAAATGGCTGGCTTGCACAAAAGAACAGGGGGCCCAACGGAAAGTGAAAAAGTGAAAAAGAACGGAATTTCTGGTATTGCACAGTTCTGCTCTTGCCAAGGAGAATGCTTTGCTGGGAGAGCTTGTAACTTCCTGTTTTAGACCAACCAATTTGAATCTCATTTTAAAGGACTTTAATTAACAACGCACAGGCGTTATACAAATAATTATGTTTTTTAAATAATAACTAAATAAATATCTTTCACTTTCAGGAAAAAGGTTCGGCGAAATAAGTCGACTCGCACGAAAGTGTCTTTTCGGAAGGCCAATTTCAAGCATGTATCCCATTTTCCCTATGTTATTAAACCTTAAAAAAGTTCCTTCTAAAATTCTGTGATCTGTCTATCCCGAATAAAAATAATACATTTCAAAAGGATGCCTTTACGGTTTCTCACCTACTTTCTTCTACAGGAAAATGCTAGCCACTTTTATTTGAATCCTGATGATTGTTGTATTGTATCTTTCATGTGCAATGTTTTCTTGTATTTCCTGTGCGATTGCAATTTGTGAAGAATGTTGATAAAGCTTTATTGAGAAAATCTTACGTTTGGCCATTTTTGAAGAAAATCGAAAAAGTTACCGAAGCTGAAACTTTGACATGTCTCTTTCAAATCATAATGAAAAACTTCTTTTTTCCCGCATAAGAACAAGTAGTTCTCGTTCAAATCGCCTCAGAAACTCATTATTTCCAAGAGAAAGACAGAATCTTTTTGAAGGCATCAAGCTCTACGATTTGCCTGAGTTTCTTGAAGTCCGATGATCTTTCTGGTTGACTTAAGATTCAAAATCATTTTTCCAGCAAGAAACGAAACTGCCAACATCTCAAAATTCTATTATTTTTCTTCTAAATTATACGTCCCCTTTATTCTAAGAATTGACTCACTTGAATTTTCAACACTCTATGGTCCTATTAAACTGAGACAACAACTGGTGATACGAAATTTACAACTAGAAACCGGCGAACAGATCCACCGACATTAATCAAACAAGTCTGCTGCCTAATCCCAAGGCTGCAGCTGCACTAAGTCGACACAGCCGTCCACGACGAAAAGATGTGAAATTAGGGTTTTTTTTAAAAGCATGAAAAACATACCTATTAAAACTCTCAATCAATCAAAAAAAAAAACATTTTCGTTTTAATTCTCCTTTTTAGACCGATTTAGTGCAATAATTCGAGATACAAAGCTTACAATGTAGGAAGGGCTGTTGTCGTTACCGTCATAAATCAAGTTAAAGTCGACGACTAAAATACGCGATGACTGCTGTACCTTACAAACGGATCGACACATATTAATTCTTGGTATCATGAAGTTCCAGGGCATATCTCAGCGAATAGTATTCCGGATCTCCAGACGTGTCTTTTCACAACTCCCTCGTCTTTTCATGTGCTCGATCTGTTTTTTCAGAGAAAGCTATTCACCCTCCAGCTTCTGAGATTATATTTTTTTTTCTGATTCTGACTGAAAATTAAAGATAGAACGACTGCGAAGTAATTTGTTCAAATTCATAACTCAAATCTTCATCATTATTATTCCAAACTTTCACTTATTCTGAACCTGCTTCGGAATTTTTCAATACAAGCCTCGAAAAGTTCCTCGTTCAAAAATAAGCAGGTTCTAGCTTTTTGAACAGATCAATAGCCTTTGGTAAGCCTGCCAGGCGAAAGTCGATTTCTTTTGAATTCAAACTTGGCGCCAGTCGTGTTTTTCAGCCCCGGTGTAACAGCCTTTTTTTTGATACACAGGCATCTTGCCACACGACTGCGTCTTTGATATCCTTCTCTTTCCAAACGGTATCCAATCCGTCTTCCTTACGCCAAATTACAGACCGCCTCTTTTTTATTAATACTTAGCTTTTCTCGAAATTGATCTCTCAGAATGAAAGTGTGGATTATTTTCAATTGCAGAATTTATCTTCTTCTCGGTGAGAAAAACTTTCAAACAACGGTTCAAACAACATGAAAAGCAGTGAATATTAAAAAGAGTAAGTTCATGTTCACTTCAAATATTCCAATCATTTTTTTTTTCTGATGCTTTATTGTGATTTATCCCGTAGTACTTCTCTTAATTACTTTGTTTTCAGATCATGTTGAAACTGGACGAACGGCTTTTCGGAAATGAATGTAATGAGAAGGGAAAAAAGCGGCAAAATCAGAGAAGTGGATTTTTTTCACCTTGATTTTTAATTTTTTTATTTTCAAATCACTTCAGTAAGTTTAACATTCATTATTATTCATATCGAATACTGAAAAGAAAACCTCATTCCAAAATCCTGCCAGTTTTTTGCGGAAGCCGTTTCTATTTTTTTTCTCTTCATTTCGTACCTCCTAAAGCAATTCAATTTCTTTTCTCGCCCAAGTCAATAAACAAGGGGCGGAACTTTTCTCTGCTACCGTGCACCGCCGACAAATCTTGCAGTCGGGGGGCGCAGTTTTGTTGCTTTGTCTCTTTTCCGCCTGTCGCTTTTTTTCCCTTTCTCGCTTTCCGTTTATTTCTCTATCTGTTCTCGTTTTTTCAGACAACTTCGTATTTTTGGGATCGACACCGTTGAAATCACAATTTTGTTGACGGCACCTCGCTCGAAACTCAATCAACCGAATGTGAGTGTTTTATTTAGTGTATCCAAAGATGCTCAACTGTTTTTCAAGACCTTAGTCTCAATTGAAAATTTTTTTTCCTTATTTTATTTTTTTGAATAATATATTTTTTTCTGTTTCACACCAGCAGTTACCATCACAAAAAAACCATAATGAAAAAAAGCTGTCAGAAATAACTTTATTTGATGTTCCATTTTTTATATTTCAGAAACCTGGTTGAATCCTGACCGTGACACTTTGAGCTGAAATACGTGTAAACGAAAAAAAAGTCCAAATAAGAAGATGGAAAAAAAGGAAAAGGTGAGATTTTCGTTCTTTAAAATCTTGTCTTTGAGGTAAAAAAAAATCTCTCTCCTTTAGAACTTGCTTCGTTCAACGGCAACTTTAGTTCTGGAGAACTCCATCGACAGCCGAGAAACCGCCGCGTTGGAAAGAGGAAGACTGAATGAAAAAGTTGGTTAAACAGTTTTTACAACATTGAATATAAATCAATTTCGGGATTCAAATTGGTTGGTCTAAAATAGGAAGTTACGAGCTCTTTCAGCAAAGCATTCTCCTTGGCAAGAGCAAAACTGTGCAAGACCAGAAATCCCGTTTTTTCACTTTTTTTTCCGTTGGGCCCCCTGTTCTTTTGTGCAAGCCAGCCATTTCCCACTCTCAAAATAACTATGAGTTTTGTTTGTCTGAAAATTGTGTAGCTTTGAGTCTGAAGAAATGTACATAAGTTAGAATTATAGAATTCTGATCACTTAGTCAAAAAGCTGTTCATAAAAAACGGCGCTTCTGTGGGGAATGGAAGTTTTCGAAGTTTTAATTCTCGCGGATTTTTGTTCCTTGATTTTTTTTCAACCTAGGAGCACGGCTTGATACTTCTTTTTTGAAGAGTATGTTGCACTAGGCCTAAAATATTTGTTACTGTTTTTTGAAATGCCTTCATAAATTATCCTCATATTTTTCGAACAGATTTAAAACTGATAACTAGCAAAAAAATGAATCAAAGATATTTTATCAATAAAAAAAATCATTTCCCCTCTGAATTTTTGATTTATTATGATAAAAAAATTTCTATTTTTTTGTGTAGTTTTATATGTTTGAATGAACCATGATAATTTCTCTCTTGAACTTCCCGATCGCGTGCTCCGCTTTATAAACTCCGTTTCAGACAAAGCCAGCCCTCGATATATGTAAAAATGTTTACCCATTAATATTGTTTTTGAAAAAAATCCTATTCGATAATTTCCCAGAACGACATTTTTTTAATTTTTTTGTAATGTTATTTTTTAAATTAACAAAACTAAAAATGAAGTTCATATTTAACTTTGAATCTGATTAACTTTCCTGTGAGCTTTTTTTCTATTGGCGTGTCCCATTTTGGATAATTTTTCTTTTTTTGTATATTTTTTTAGGAAATTGGGAAGTATTAACAATATCCTTACGACGTGTCAATTTTTTTGAGAATAGATTTTCTTTAATGACATCTATTCAACTCGCATTTATTTATTTCAATCCCCCTTTCCTCTTCTATCAATACGTATATTCTACGAGCTCAACCTTTCATAGACTTCCATTTCTGGATTTTTTTTCCAGCATGATTAACAAAGTTAATTCCAATTTATCTCATTTATGTACTTTTCTCGGTGAAAACTTCTGAGAAACGTTCAATTTTTCTCCTTCCTTCGGTAACTGTTTGCTTCTTCTTCAAAAAAATGGCCAAACGTAAGATTTTTCTCAATAAAGCTTTATCAACATTCTTTACGAATTGCAATCGCACAGGAAATACAAGAAAACATTGCACATGAAAGATACAATACAACAATCATCAGGATTCAAATAAAAAGTGGCTAGCATTTTCATGTAGAAGAAAGTAGGTGAGAAACCGTAAAGGCATCCTTTTTGAAATGTATTATTTTTTTATTCGGGATAGACAGATCACAGAATTTTTAGAAGGAACTTTTTTTAAGGTTTAATAACATAGGGAAAATGGGATACATGCTTGAAATTGGCCTTCCGAAAAAGACACTTTCGTGCGAGTCGACTTATTTCGCCGAACCTTTTTTCCTGAAAGTGAAAGATATTTATTTAGTTATTATTTAAAAAAACATAATTATTTGTATAACGCCTGTGCGTTGTTTATTAAAGTCCTTTAAAATGAAGTTGTTGAAATAGATCTTTCTATAGACCTTTACTTTCAAGTCTGAACGGATTTATCAATGTGCGGATGTGAGATTCATTGAGGAATTCTTTGAAAACTATTACTGACCTCAGTCGGAGCGGAATCCGGCTCGATTTCCATCGCCTTGATGATATTCTCAACGCCCCAAATGCCACCATCGTCGACGCCTCCGTGGACAATATCCTGAAAGTTTCATACATAATCTTTTTTTGCTTCCAACCAGCTTTTTATTCTTGTTGTGCTAGTCTACCAAGAAAAATGAGGAAGAGTTCAGAAAATGTGCGAATCTCTGAAAAATCTGTGACCGTTTTCAGCCGTTTCTGCGTAAAAAAAAAACCGGCGAATTTTGGAAAAAAATTGTTGGTCAAATTAAAAAAATTGTGTGTTGAATGAAAGATGCTATGAGCCGTGTTCTTTCAGTCAAATTGAAAATATCTTTCAACTGACACTGAAGAACCCAGGCAGGGTCGAGTTGGCAAAGTCGATAAGTTTGACGCAAACGGCGTCTTCGTCTGCCGAGTCGACGGCTTCAGCGTCGAAAGCCACCAAAATCGAGGCTGAGAAGAAGCGATAGCCTTCCAAGTTCATCAGAACATTCTTGAGAGCTTGCAGTCTGTTTGGATAATTATAAAACAAAAAAAAGCTTCTCCCCTACTTGTCTCGAATTTTCAGAGATCGCAAGGGTCCGCAGGCTTTCGCAAAGCCACCGCAGTAGACGAAGAACTGTTCCGCACTCATCGTGCGGCCTTCTTGTTTCTCGATGTAAACGTACTCCTAAAAACACATCATTTTTCTAAAAGATCAAGTCAGGAAAAAGGTATAGTCCAATCAAAGAAGAGAAACGGAGAAAAACGTCCCGAGGAGGTCTATTCAAAAAAAAACCTTGTTTGTAGCATCGTACATCTGCATGCCGACCAATCGAGCTCCCAGTTTCCCGGAGGTCGACAACTTGCATTTCAGGATTGCCTGCTCTCTTTTTTCCTTCGAGGAGTTGTCACCATGTTGTCTCAAAACTCCCAATTATATTCAAGATGTTCGTCACAAAATAACAAATAGAAACCAAAAAAATTTCAACAAGCGATATTGCTCGTTCACTTTTTCAACATTCTAGAAGAGTTACTAAAGTCCACCTGGTCCCAATTTTTCAGATCCAGGACGTATGGTCGCGCAAAATGTGCGACCACATTTTTCCAAGAGCATGAAGTCCTTCGGTCCATACTGCAAAAGGTTTTCGACCACCTGAAACTCAAAGAATGACTTTTAAATAAATAGAATAAAAGGAAAAAGAGTTTGAAGAAACATGGAAACAATGTAGTCCACGGACAAAGAAAATGTTCTCCTTGGAGCGCAAATACCCTCACAGAGCCAAAGTATTGAGTTTTTGACGTTTGTAAGATTTGTAGTATTTTTCAAGAAAAAAGAATAATTTTTTTGATTGATTATTTCTAATGTTTGTAATAGGTAAAATTTTTTTGACTATATCACAATTTTTCGTCGCTTGAAAGGAACTATTTTTTTACAAACTTATAAAAAAACTCGTTCAATTTCTCTATATAATTTAAACTTTCGAAACTTTTTTTAACGAGTTACTTATTATTCTTTTCTTTCTTTGTATAGATTCTCGTGATGATGAGACATAGCTCTTTTAATAGCACTGTTGGAGAAAACCGAAAATTGAAAGTTTCAGCCTGAATTTGAGTTTAAAAAAAGACTTCTATTCTTCTGAACTGGAACATTTGATGAGAAATAAAACTTTGGCTGTTCCTCCAGTAAAACAGTAGATTTCAAAAACTGTTTGATATTACACTATTGATTTATTCAACCATGAATGTCCCAAAGCAGTTATCGATCTTCCTAATACGGGCCACAAATTGTGCTTCTTTCCAGGTGGAATAAACAACCTTTGATTGACATTCGTCGGCCTGAGAGTTCCAAGAATCGTTGGTTTCAACAGCCGCGAAACCGGGCATGTAGGTACGAAATCTCAAAATCAATTACATGAAAATGAAGTTCATGTTCCGATATAAAAAACCGGACGATCGATTCGGGATTCTCAGCAACTTTGTCCCCGTGGCATTTAGGAACAGAGCTTGTGAAAACCAAGACTCGCTCAGTCTCCGAATCAGTCGCAGCATGGACAAGGATCTCATCTGAAACTTGTCAGCATTAAAGAAATTCCGATGAAGAGAATTCGCGTTGAAAATTTTACGAAAAAGATATTTTTGACAATTTCAACCGACTTTCAAACAACTACCAATACCGTCGGGACAAAGTTTTCATAATTTTCTGGAAATTTTTCTAAAGTTCATGCTGAACGCTATAAGTTTTTGAATCCAGAAATAAATTATCACCAATGCTTCCGAGAAAATTTATGAAGTCTCGAAAATTCCGAATGCTTGATTCTTTCTACTAGAAGGGTACCGTATCAATTTAAAAAAATACATAACTAAAAAAACTAGGATGAATAATTGATTTGAGGGATGGATTCGATGTCTCTAAAAGTAAGTCTCAGAAAATGTGAATGGAATCGCCAGATCTTGTGATTCCCGTTTTTTTCTGTGAGTTTTGTAAAGATCCGAAAACGGAAAATTTTGCTCACGTCAGCGGAAAGATATTTTGATATCGTGCTCTTTTATGCTATAAGATGTGCTCCAAAAGATAAAGATAGGAAATTTCGTGGACTAACTGCAAAAAGCTGGAGTGAACGGCTTCAATTCGTTGTCCATTCTCTGGTAGAAAGCCACTTCACGAGGGTTTTTCGGCTTCGCAACATGACCTCCGTGGACAAGAATGCCGAAATGGCCTCCAACCTGAAAAAGAACATTCAAATTAGGAATTGAAACTGCTTTTCATGCGAAATGATTGATTATTTCGGATTCCTGATAAGATTTATCTCAACTCTCAGTGCATCGGTTTTGGTCATTTTATTGCAGAAAGTAAGGGTTGATGCCGAAAAAGAAGAGATGATCGCCATTTCTGGCGTCCGATTCCAACCGTTTTACGCCTTTCAGCTCTGATTATCACAGACTCTCGCTTCATTGTATTTTAAGAAGGCTCGGAGATGCAGTGACATAAATGTTCTATCCATTAAGTCAAAAAATAAGGCATTTGAAAACCGCGACTTGCAGTCCATAATTTTTCTAGGCTTAGAGGATGAATCAAGGTTGAACCTTTTTTTTCAGAAGCAGAAGAAATAATGATTTTCAACTATATCCAACACGAGGTTGCATACAATTTTTGGGATCATTTTATCAATCTAACTGTATTTTACCTGGTGACGAAAAGCGGTGAATTCCATGACGGCGGGCTTTTTTTAGAGTAGTTTATTCGAGTTTTTCTAAATTGTAGATTTATTTGAAGACAGGAAAATAGAAGAAATTTACAGAAGTGAAAAATTCTTAGGACTTTTTTTAAACCTACAAAAAAATATGTCTCAAGTTTTTCAAAAAGATTTTCAATTTGATTGCAGTTTTTAGCTCAAAAGTTACTAGTCCCAAAAAATTATATGAAAATCGTAATCAATAAATTTTCACAAAGCTACAGTAATAAACGAAAGTTGACAGGCAACTTCACTTTGTCACAATAAAATAAAGCATTATTTAAAACAGAAAAGACAATATTGGGCACGGGAGAATATTGTAGAAAAAAACTTCGAATTTTCTGGAAAACAAAAAAATTATGAATCACCAAACCATTCGATACATTAATCCTATTTCGCTGCGAGACCGGAAACGGCAGCTTACAGATCTTGCTTCGATTAAAACGTGTGATTTTCGTATGACTCAGAATTGATTTTGTTAACAAGGGCCATATTCTCACAACCGAATTTCAAAAATTTCTCTGCGAAAAGTTTCAAAAAGCATGTTTCCGAACAAAGAAAGCTCCAAAAAAAAAAATTAGTGTTTACGTTCATTTTTAACTTGAGCTCAGAATCACCTATTCAAAAAAGCAAGTTCAAAAAAAAATGTTTCACTTTTTTCATTTTTCACTGTCGATGTCTTTCAAATGAAAAATGAAGAGACCTCTTTCAAGTAAAATACAAAAAAACTATTCAAATGGAAAATTTAAAGCCCAGTATCATTAGATTTTATGTCTCTTCCTTTGAAGACGGACAAAGATTGGCAAAAGTTTTGATTGATAATTGATAAAACATGGAAAAGAAGGAGCTTGAGTTGAAAAAATGTTTCCAAAAATAAACAACGTCGCAAATTTTTATCAAGAATTTCTTGGAAAAGCATTGTACATCGTTGCGGGAGTTTGAAAATCGGTTGAAGCAGAGATAAAAATCTGGCCCGGTGACTGTGGCAGACAGTCATCATGAAGATCGTTCATGAACTTCTTGCAGAAGAAATGACGACCAATCTGAAAAAAAACGAACTTTTGCGATCTTATGTTTTGTTTCGGGACCGACGATCTTCGCTGAAAACCAGGGAACTGATGACCGAGTGTTCTTACAAACTATTTTTAGTCGATAAAGTTGAAACCTTGGCGCTCATTGGACAGAATTTGGAGTAGGAGCATTCGAAAGGAAAAATTAGCATATTTCAACTGCGAATTTCCAAAAATATTTGATAATAAAGAGAATGTTCGCTTTGCAAGAAATTCGCATTTTATATCTTTGCCCCGAGACTCGATTGATCAACCTTTCGAAAGAAAACGATTTTTTTCTTCTTCTAACAAAAATATCTCCATTACACTGTTTTAAAACCCCTTTTTCGAGTTTGGACTGCACTTATCTCGACGCGAAGATGATCTTGCCTCATTCGAATTTTTGTGTGATGTTATCGGCGACTTCACAGTGACATTCAAGTAGAGTCATTTTCTCCTTCCAAACTTGCCGAGCTCTCGGCGTCTGGCGAAAAAGGTCATCTAGTCACCTTATTAGGGATACTTCAGATTACGGTAGTCGGCATTCTTTTTCTTCCGTAGGTTCCCTGCCGCGGACGGGTTTTCTCTTCACCTTGCCTTTCAAACAGCAAAAAGTTTTTTTGTACAATCAAGAGGATCCCTGAGTGAAAAAAAAAACGTTCGGCTTTGATAATTGGTAGAAGTGTATTTTCGTTTATCTTATTTTTCAAGGTCCCTTGCTGCCAGCAAAGGAACTTCTTGGCGTAATTTTAAAGTCACGATTTTGGCTGTATTTTCATCAGTAGTCCAAATGAAAAACTACCTCTAAATTTTTTTTTCTTTGCGACTGATTTTCTAACTTTGATTGTTTCAGACATTGAATTTCTAGCAATAAAATAGTTCCTCCTACTCTCCGTAGCAAAAAGAAACATAAAAAAACTTTCTGAAAGTTGAAAGTAATCAGTAAAAAAAGATGGAAATCTCGGTTTTTTTCTGCCATCGGAAATGTCGAGATATCATTTATTTTTTTAACCATTTTTTTGATAATACGGATCGCGAAATAAATGTTTGAAATGTCCGAAAAGAGATGTAAAAACGGAAGATTTATCTCTTACAAGTTAGCCTATTTACATTTTAATTCGATACATTGATCGTTATCACAGATCTTCGAATTAATTCGACCATTTCGAAAAGCAACCTTAGAAGCTTCTGTCCATTGTAACAAACCATATGAAAAATGAGAAAAACAAAGCTGTTTATTTTGGTAAAACTTCGATAGGATGAGTTCTAGTGAAAAGTGAAAAAAATACAACTCGAGAATTTCAGCAGATGGAAGGAAGATTGAAAACGGATCGGCAGAATGTCACATGAACATTGGAAAAAATGCATAAAAACTGGAAAAAAAAACGGCTGTCGTAAAGAAAAAGTGAAGTAGTTCAATATCGGGGGTCGAACTGAAAAAAAGTCAACAGGGGACAAATCATAAAAAAGCAACAACGATGTTAAACAAAAACGGAGAAAAATCTCAAAATCCATCGAGACTTATTAGTATTATAGGCTGTTCGGAAAACCATTGTTTCGAAAAATTTCAATTATTCTGAAAAAAATATTCTTACAGGGAATGTTTTTTTCAATTTGCGGTTGGAAGTTCTTAAAATTCTTAGAATTTCAGAATCCGTCAGAAAGGCCATTTTTGAGCCTTTGATACCTTTTTTATGAATAATAATAATAGGTTTATTCATTGCTCACGATGAGAAAAGGAATAGTTATAACGAAACAAAATAGAACTTTTTATTTGTGAACTAGAAAAAAAGAAAAATTCAAGAATATCTCCAACCGCGAAGGGAAATTACCTGCCCTTTCAGTAAAAAACAAAGTTTACAGGAAAAATGAAGAAAGAAAAAACAGAAAAAAAGCGTGAAAGAAGTTTTACGTTGCTTTCATTAAAAAGATGGACCACCATTTTGACGGTCCATTATCAAATGAAGAGACCCGTCCTTGGAAACACCGACCTTTTCAATTTTAATCCATTGCACCAGCTCGGTCCCCTCATATCTCGGAAAAAACAGCTTATTGTCATGTGTTTCCAGCCAATCCTCGAATCCCGCGATCTAAAAAAGATTATTTCGAAAAAAAAAATTTTCTCAGCCACTAATTTGTAATCTACGATGCAATTAGACTGAGGAAGAAATCGGCAACGTTTTTACTCGAAAAATTCTGACAAAAAACTTTCAAAAGTAGGAAAACTGCAAAGAAATAAGAGTCAAAAAAGAATTTTTCGTGATTGTGGTTGTGTTGAATTTCTGTTTAACGTTCTTTGCCAAATAAGGATATTAATAGTTATCTTAGTTTTTTTCAAAGGCTCAATACATACAGTCACGGAAATTTGGTTTTTTTTGAAAAATGAAAATTTTTAGAAACGTATTTTTCTCAATGAAAATTTTTTTGGTAGCCAAAAAAACTCGATTCTTCGAAAAATCTCAGGTGGATATATAATTATGAGGAACAGTGTTTTTTTAAAATCTTTTTCAGCCGTCCACCAAATTTGGAAAGATTCACTCAAAAATCGGAAACGTTCCAAACAAGACTTTCTGTTCCTGATTGAGATTACCTCAATTATAAGTTGAAAAGCCATGCACATTTTTTTCCTGGTTCATCCGTCGCTTCTGAGAAATATATTATTTGTAATCTCTCAAAGAACTAAATTAACCATTTGGCGAGTCGCTATCTGGAGGAATCCATTTGAACCTGAAAAATTTCCAAGGAAAATGATAAAAAAACTAAAAAAAGAATCACGAAAATTGGGAAGTGGGAAGTCGATTTGTTTTTTTCCGCTTGGTCTTTTTCTCTCCCCTGAAATAATAATTTTTATGAAACGTTGAAAATGATATATAAGCAACAATTTGCTTAATATACTAAACTATTGAGTTTTCTGCTTTCTACTAATTTTTTTCTTCTGAAGTTTTTAAAGTAGTTATACCGTTTAATTCAAATTTTCCTCAGTTTTTTTCTAAGATAGCTAATTCAAAATTAAAAAAACTGAGTGTTAGATACACATAAAATATACAAAAAAACTCACAAGTATACTACACAGGAATATTATTCATAAAAAAATCTGGGTATCATAGTTAGAAATTGTTGATTGAATAATTCGCAAAGCCAAGAAGATGTCGCAATGCCAATTTGAGATGATTTCATACTATTGTTCCCCAAATTTTGAGTTTTGGCATGATGAAGCTCAAGTTATTCAAGATTCAAAAAGCAAGCATTAAGAAAGGGAAAAAAATTCAGAGCCTTAAAACCAATATGAAATTCTCTAAAATCCATTCTCTTTCAATTTTAGAAAACTTTGGCAGCCAAATTAATTTTTTGAAATGTGAGACGGCTTTACGGTTTTTAGAGCAATTGCATTTTTCAGAAAACGTTGCACTTTGAAAAATATTTCAACAGAGCTATTTTTGCATAAAATCGCTTAACTCTTCTTTTCGATCTGTATCAAAATGCCGATGAAATTTTTAAATTTTTTGTCGAGAAATGTCCCAGCAAAAAATAGAAATCAGAAGTTGTAAAAATAGTTCAAAACAAGTAAAAAGATCTTCATCTCAAGTTTTTCGGATCATCACCTTGTCATGAGCAACTTCCGGAAGTCCTCTGGTCTCTGAGCTCGTCCCATTTGCGTTTTGTGCGTCTTTTCTTGCAGAAACTTCCAACAATTGTTGGAAATGAGAAAACCTTTCCAAAGGTTTCTTTTCCAGAACCGGTTTCACTGTCCGAATCCCTTAAATTCAGAATAAATAAACTTTTTCTTCTTTTTATAAATTTGGTAGAAATTCAATTTGAAATTCTAATGAACCTTGTTAAACTCAAAATTTTTCTTGCAAATTCTTTTTGAATTTCACTGGGAATGATGAATCACTTTTAGAGTTCTTTTTTTCTGACCAAACAATCAAAAAAACCCACATAGCAGTCCATTTGATTCGAACACTTCTACGCCATCAATCTGGAACCGTTCTGGAACGTTTTTTCATCATTTTTCTGAGGTGGCTAATATTCCAGGTATTTTTATTTTTCTCTTTTGTAATTTTTTCAAAGCTCTTCAAGTTCTTCCTGAATTCTCATTAAAATGATTTAAGAGGCAGATTTTTTTATCCAAAAAGTTTGAACTCTTTTTGGTCTACATACGTATGATATAATTAATAACACTGTCAAATAATAGGAAAACTTTGAAAAAAACCGTAACAAGACAAGAGTGAATACTTGGAAAAAGGTTTCAAAGCGTGAATTTAAAAGACCACTGGAGACGATTCTTTGGCTCAAATCCTTTATGAAACTTCTCTCTGCGACTTCAAAGCAAGGATCCTTCATTCGAACTCTGTGCGAATTTTTTTCGAACCCCCTTGACCAAATTCTTTTTTTTTAGGGTCCAGAATTGCAAATTGCAATACGAAAACCTGAATCCTAATTCATGAAAAATAAAAAAAACTAACGATTTTCCACGATATTCCAGACTGCACCACAATTTTTAACTTCTTGGTCATAATTTGATCTTGAGGTTGATCCTGAAAACCTTACACTTTTTAAACTCGGAAAATCTCTCACTGTTGGCAAGGTTCGAGGGTTCATTCAAAGTCCCTGAATCAACTGAAGGTTCGCTGGATGGTGGTAAAACCGTAGGAATCTTGACTTCAGGCTGAAAAAATTACATAAAACTTTGAAAATAAATTTCCAAACATTTAGCGATTTTTCCGCTTCAAAATCAACGGGCGGTTGTCTAGGCAAGGACGTGGTTTTTGTTGATGGCTCTTCGGATTCTTGGCCCTGAAAGTTTTGGAAAATCATTTTTTCACAGGGAAATTTGACGTTTTGTGTTGGAAGCATCGCGTCATTCTTTCGTTTCTCAGCGTCTGACGACGAATCCCTCGCTTCCGACTTTTTCTGAGAAAAAAAGAAGTTTATCGGCACTTATCTTAAGAATTTAACTCCCCGGAACTTTGCAGAAAAAGAGAAATTCAAAGAAACTTGTCATTAAAAAATTTTTTATTTCAAACTATTGTATTGATTTCTGCTTTATTTCATTCTACGTTTTTTATGAAAGAGGAAAATTCTTCGAACTACACATATCGGTAAGACCTGAATGGGAAAGACTCGTTGAAAAACGACCTACTTAAGAAATTATCGAAAAGAAATGACTTGAAGGAACACTTACCGACAATTGGCTCGGTTCTCCGTCGACTTCCATCCTTGGAAATAATTCTGTGACGCTTTTCTTAGAGTTCCCAGTCGTCAGATTCAATCCTGAAGCCTCCCGATGTGGCGTGCTACTCTTAAATATTTAATCTGAAGGAGTACTTTCATTTTAATTCATACTTCCAAAGGATCTCGAGGCGTTGAAGGCATCCCCGTAGCGGAGTGAATCACAGAGGGTCGAGCCTCCTGAAAAAGTTCTAGATAATCAAGATAAGGAAAGTTTTCAGAAGAGAAAAGTATGAAATTCAATTTTCAAAAGTATTCCTGGTAGAAAACTTTTTCATCAGGTAAGAGCGAAAAAGTCATTGTCGAATAGAAAATTTGCTTTTATTTCATTGTTGCAAATTGCTCGAAAAGTGTGTCTGAAAAGCTTGGTAATTTATGTGGGTGTGTTTTTTAAAGAAGAAAAATTACACCTTGTTTGTTCAAATTTTTCCTTTTCGATACACTTAAAACTTCAGAATTATTCACTTTTTTGGGGAAAGAAAGCAGTTTTTTGCTTACGCTAACCTTGCAATGTGGAGCTTCTGAATCGAGGGCTCTTCGAGGAATTTTCGATGAAATCTGAAGTTACTCTTTCCAACAAATTTTCATGATAGTTCTTCCACTTCTTCAGATAAATCCCGAATGGTAGGCTTCGACTCAGATTCGGGAACTTCCTGACGAAGATTTTTCGTTGCTTCAGTTTCATGTGCAGGAACCGATTGGCTTCTGCTTCTTTTTTTCTCAAGACCATGTTTTTGTTTGTAGTCATGAAGAAGCTGTCCATCCCCCTTAATAAAGCATGTTATAGAAAAAAAGAGAAAATGAAAACCATGTTCTCTTCGGGAATCCACACATCTTCGTCGCGGTCGAATCCAACCCAAGTCACAAAGTACTCGAGATCTCCTTTTTCATTCCGCCGGTGGTTTAAGATTTCTTCCACCTCGAATAAAAATTGTAAGAAAAATGCAAAAAATGCTCTTTGCTTTCTATTACGTAGAATACAGTCGTCTTTCATGATTAGTGGAATTTTTTTTTGGTATTTTTTTAAAATTTTAAAAGCCTAATGCATCTCATTTTCAAACAGAAAACACTTTCTGAAATGAAGCGCCAAAAGGGCGCCACAACTTTTTCTCTGACATACACTATTTTTTCTCGCAGTTGGATAACCACAAAACAGTGTATGTCAGAGAAAGAGCTGCGGTGCCGTTTCGGCGCTCCATGTCAAAGCTCTGTTTCAAAATTATTCATTTTTCAACCAAAACGTTTAAATCATGAACACAGCTTAAATCTTAAATTTCTCACTTCTTCAGATGGAGCTTCACTAGCAGGCTGGGAAGGAGATCTGGAAGGTTCCCGAGAGACCGATCTGACTTCGCTTCTTTCTTTTTCACTCAATCCAGCCTTCTTTTGGTAGGCGCGAATGAGAGGACCGTTTCCCTCAAAGAGATATACTACCAAAAACAATAAAGAGAAAAAAAACCATGTTTTTCCCGGGAATCCACAAGTTTTGATCCTGGTTGTATCCCTTCCATTTCACAAAGTACTCAACGCCTTTTCCAGTGTGTCGATGGCTAATTATTTCTTCCACCTGAAAAAAATATACTGGAAGTTCATGCTTCTAAGCCTTTCAAATCTGGGAAATTACACAAAAAAGACGTCTTTTGAACCTGGTGTGTCATTTTTTCTCCAAAGATAAAAGCCTGATACGAAAATGTTTTTTTCAAAGTTAATGGCTTTCAAATATATAAAAGATTCGAAAAAGGAAAAGAAAATTTGTTTCTGACCTCGAAAATAGAAGATTTTCGATCATTTTCCGCCTTCGAAGATGTAGCTTCTTGGCTGTCAGCTTTTGGCCTTTTTTTCACGCAAACCGATCTTTCCCCATCTTTATTCAATCTTCCTATTCCATTTTTTTGATTGTAGACTCGGAGCGGTGGGGCGTCGATCTGGAAAACCACTATTAAAAGGAAAATGTTGAGTAATGAAACCATGTCCTTTTCGGCAACCCACGAATCTTCATCAGAACCATATCCTTTCCATCTTACGAAGTATTCAAAAGCCCCTTTTTTGTTCCGACGATGTTTCAAAATCTTCTTTACCTTCAAAATAAATCACTAGAATGGAAAAATTTGAAAAAAAAAACCTCGTTTTCCGAGTCATCGGAGTCTTCCTTATAATTTGGTCTTTTCCCTGTACGTTCCTTCTCGTTTGCTTTGGTGATGACGCAGCGAGAAGAACTCATAGTTTATGATATGCCTGCAAGAAATAAATTTGTAATTGGAAGAAAAGGCGTCTGTAATGGTCAGTAGGCGTGGTTGCAATAAGTGGCGGTTTTTTTGAGCATGTGCATGTAATAAATCTAGTGATTCACAAGGGCACAATTTTCCCAATAGTACAGATTATTTGATAAACGTTCCTCTTAAAAAAAGGAAAGTAACTAAAACGATGCGCTTTTTGTATTCGCAACCCTGATACGTCAAAAAATATCAGTGAAAAATTTCGGAAATTTATAGTAAGTTTGTATTTTTGGAAAAACGTCGACGGAAGTCGAAAAGGCGATGAAACTTACATTTCTTTCTAACCAGCTCTTAGAATGATATCTATGGACATAAATTATGTTCTGAGGTTGTCTGGCGTTTTTTTATTGCGTAAAGAGGAGCCCTCGATAGGTTGCTAATCTTTACCGCCAGACGTTATGGCGGTCTTTTTTGATAAACTGAGGCAAACTCAGGCACGTGGCAAAAATGAGAGATACTGGAAAAAAGGATATATCGAGAGAAGGACGTTGAATACAATTAGAGAAGATACGGCGTTTGTTATAAAAATTGTCAAGTACAATCTCAAAAGCCAAGATTTAAAGCTGGATCGCAAAAAACGAACGACCGGATTGATAATGGACGCGCATCGCTGGTCAGCTCCCTGTGTAACAGTTCTGCGCCCACATAAACAATTGTTCGCAACACGGCTTTTTTTCTGGGATTCCCTTTTTAAAAAAATCTTATTCTCGGGAAAAAAATAACTTTGTTTTTTTCACTACTTCAAACTCAAACCGTTTGAGTTTTTTTCTTTTTAAATTTTTAAAAACCGCATGGTTTTTTTCTTTATTTTTCATTTTTCTTCAAGAAAAGACCTTTTTCCTAATACGCAGGCTTCTTAAATCAGTAATTACCGCTTCTTCGCTTATTGATAGCTCGCGCGATTTGAAAGAACAAGAAAATAAAAGCCTTGCCGCGGACAGGAAAAATCGATGCAAATTCAAACTTGGTGCCAGACGCCTGAATTTTGGCGCCAGACTGTTTACCATCCTCTTTGATGCTCAGGCAGATTGCAACGCGTTCGCGTCGCCTTTTTTTAGGACTTCCTTCTTAACGTTCGAAATTTAATTTTTTTCTTCAGAAATGAGGAAACTGACTCAATTTTTCGTTCTACGGCTTGCTTTCCAAGAAAATAATCATTATACTTTTGTTTCACATCGCTTTTTTTTTCGATCGCTTTGTTAGTTTTCAAAAGTTTTCTCGTGGTGATTTAATTTACTCAGCCATATTAATCTATCGGCCTTGCTTTAAAACCACATTTTTACCCAGCCTTTAAACGCTGGAGTTCGAAACTCCGTAATCTTTATTTTATTTAGCTTTCCATTGTTACATTTTTTTGTAACGACTTTAATTTCAACTTAAAAACAGAGAAAAAAACTCTTATTTTTCGACGGCCGCTTTTTTTATCTTATTTTTTTCAAGTAGAAATTTTTGAAAAAAATTCCAGGAATCTCGATGGAGTCGCAGAGCTCGAAGGAACTCGAAATTCTCAAACAGGAATACCATCCAGTCAAAGGTAATTTGAATTGAACTTTTTAAAAAAATGTCAGATTTTATTTTTATTTCAGAGGAAGGCAACATGGGTTTGAAGGAATCGTCTGGTCTTCCAAGTATGCATTTTCTTCTCTTAAATTTTTTTAAATTCGCTTCTTACTTTCTAATCAAGTTTTAAGAATTTCGTGAATATAAGAATAGCCTTCAAGTACCACCTCTACGCGGTGATGGGGAGGCAACGCCATTTATGGCGGCTAACGGTACACCGGTCACGCAATTCGGCTTGCTTCTGCTAACAGAATGGGCGGTCTTTTTTAGCCTTGGCAAGGCAAAAAGGATAATAATACCACAATTATGCTATAACACGTTCAACTCCACGGATGGAACTTTTTCGCAAGAATACCAGTCAACCAGGACGACAAAACTGGATGACCGATTGCATAAGACCTCCTGGAAAACGTGTGGTCCACGCTTCGATCAATAAAAAGCACTAAAAGGCAATAAAAGGTCGAAAGCGAAGATGGACCATCCAGGTATCCAAGTAAGTATAAGAATAGCTTGACGGTTTTTTTCTGAAACTTTTTGCTAGCGTGTTAAAAACAGTATCTTTCGAAAATCTCGGTACGAAGAGCCGTTTTTTTTTCAGTTATTGATAGCAATTTTTTGAAACAGGCCGCCATTTCTAACAGAAACTAATTTGAAAATTTTTTTTTATTGATTTTATTTTTCCAGACGAGGTCGAACTTTCACCCGAGCAAAAGAAAGGAAAAAAAAGACGGAAGCGACTAAACTCGAGACGACGGCGCAGAGAATTCTTTGAGAAGTTAGCAGCCGAACTGGCTGCTGCGGGCTTGTGGCAGCAAAGAGCTAGACTCATGGAAATACATTGAACGATTTTTTTCTCTGCCAAAACTCCAAAAAAGAAACAAATTTTTTCAATCTCATTTCATTGTAACCATTTTTATGCTTTACAAAGCTTCACACTAACCATTTTAAATTCTGAATTCCGTTCTTGCCTTGTTCTTGAAATAAATGTTTCTTAGAAGTTTTTTTATGTTATTTATCATGAGATTCAATGAAATGAAAGTATTTGATGTTAAAACAAAACGGTAAAAAAAATTTTTCAAGGTTTTGTTACTTATTGGCATACTATAAATTCTGAGGTTGTCTGGCAATTTTTTATTGCGCAATGCTGGGCACTCGATCTATTGCTAATCTTCTCTGCCAGACGCCATGGCGATTTTTTTCGACTCGTCGAGGCATGTGGCAAAAAAAGCTTCTGGAAGAATTGATCCCAGAATAGGATTGTGATAAAAAAATACAAAAAAATATATATAAAACTTTAAATGATTTCTGTCAGTAATGATGTTTCTCTCGAAAGAACATGAAAGTCATTTTCCTCCATAAATTTCAGATGCTCTGGGATCCTTACTGGTCAACAGTACAGTTTATTCAGAATTGTTGAGTTTTTTTCAATTTGTATAGGAGTTTAATTATAGTTGATGTCCCTCAAGGTTTGGTCGGATTCCGGAATCATTTCATAATGATTTATGCGTTTCTTCTCCTTTTAAAAATGTTATTGAATTTCACCTGCTCTGGAAAGTAGATGATGGCATATACGATCATCACTTTTTCTTTTAAAAAAAGTACACGGTTTTTTTCTCTATTTCAATATAATTTTGAAAATGTGGAAAATTAATTTTTTTAGAAACTTTTTCATTCCGATCAACGAGCCGCAAGGTGTTTACTTTACGTTGACACTAGTGAACGCGTTTCCCCGTGTACTCATTAAACTCCGAAAAAAATTCCAAAGTTGAGTGCCGTTTATATTTATGTGGTATATTGAAAGTTTGAAAGGTTCACTGTTTTTCTTAAAAAAATTTGATCAAAAACTGGTTTTGGTGACCTTCACGGCAAATGGAATGTGCGCTCCATCGGACGGGAGCCGAAATCATTATTTTTACGGCGTGTAGACAAAAATAGTGGCTCCTTCGTCTTTCCAAAACATTTGGTGTAACGGAACTATTTTTCGATCTGAAGGATATTTTTCTAGAAATAAATTTAAACTGGATAGATCTGCCAGCTTCGTCTTTCGCATAGAATGAATTTCAAACGCAAAATTTGAATTCTTCTCAGCTTGAGTTTATTAAAAAACGAATTTATTAATTTTTACAGCTTCCATTTCGGCTAATAGTTTTATCAGTCTCAGCCTAAGTTCTGTAAGAAACTTCTTTTGCTCTCTTTCGTATCGAGCATTGTTTATCCTAAAATGCAAGGTCGGTTACTTGAGCCGATACATCTGGAGGAGCCAAGAAGCCGCGGAAAAAAAAAACCCTAGCGCTGACCTTGGCTTCTCGACAACAGCTGCACACATGTCCAATTTGTATTATTTTGAATATTTTTTTGAATCATTCTCAGAAAGGTTAGTTTGGGGGTGCGCAGATAAATAGCCTTAAAATGAGAATTTGAAATGGACAACAAAAAACTTTTTAATTAAATAAAAGGTACAGTGTAAAACTATGCAGAAGGATTGTTTTTAATTTGTTTTCTTGCGGCTCCTGACATCCTGTACCTCAAAAAATAAGATAGAAAGACTTCAAAAGCTACCACAACTTTTGAAACTTGTCTGTAAAAATCAAAAATATCAGAAAGCTAACAAAAAGATGCCCAAGTTCGATCCGCGCCTCGACACAACCAAGGGGTTTAAGAAATGTTGGTAGTGTGAAACCACGACTTCATAATTCCCAGACGTCACACACACAAGGACGGATATGTCACTGGTGCCAGTCCACAGATATCAGGATATCAGGATAAGACCTCGGCTAATCGACTTGGGGCGTCGACGCCGCTCAAGTGGTACAAAGGCGTAGGAAGAAGAAGAAGAAAGCTAACAAAAAACAAATTTCTGGACTTTTTTCTAGAATAATTAGCCCTACCTTCTTCGCACCTCTTTTTTGCTAGTTTACCGTTTGAAATAGGACAGAAATCTGAGAAATTTTTGTACAAGGTCTTCGAAAATCGTGAGAACCTCTGATTTTCGGAAAAAATCGAAAAAGTTGTCAAGTTTGTCGTTTTCCCATAATAGACGGGGGGGGGGGGGATCTTCGCAGAACGTTTCCTGAGCTTCAACGGTTTCACTCCATCCATGAGGACCTTTTTCCGGCGGAGTTCCTCGATTCAAAGGTGGTTGTTAATAAATTAATTTCTGCATTTCACAACACTTTCTATTCAATAAAGGTTAACAGGAAATTCAATATTTAGAAAAGACTGCAGCCTTTTTTCTCCTGGTACGGATTGCGGCTGTCGCTAAGTCCTCCAGTGACAAGAACATCTTTCTTTTTGTTCTTCTCGCAGAAGTCGATCAAACTGAACATTCTTATCTTTTCAAACACGGTTCGACGGAATCTCACTCTTTGGAGACGTGGGACACCTTCTTGCGTTGAAGCTCGGCTTCTCTGCGCAACTGCATTGTGTTGGCCAAGGCTCGGCTCATTTCCGTGTGAGGCTCAACCTGAAATATTCGAAAATCGGCACGATTGAGAGACTTTTCAAATGATATTGGGTTTGATTCCATTTTTTTGTCAATTTCATTTCAAAAATCGGAATATTCTTAATTTTAAATTACGGGAAACCTCTGTGAGGGATCAAGCAAAGGCCCTGAAGTTTCAGCTCCTACGAGCATTAAGTCTAGGAACTACCATTTTGTGCCGATTAAGAAATGATCTCTCAACAATGAAACTTATATGTTATCAATTTCAAGGCTCTTTACAGAAATACGAGGTTTAAACAACTTCTTCTTGCAATAAAAAACCTTCAAGACGATTTTTTGAATGTTATCGACCACAGAGTATGGCGGCGGTGGGCCGATGGATGTGTTCATCTGAAAAGGAAAAATCAGAAAAAGGCCACAATTAAATTTATTACTTTCTGAGAAGTTCGAACCTTTTTATCTTTAAATTTTTTTAACAAACCAGTCAAAAAAAGTCACAAAAAAATAGAATTTTTTTCTAGTAGTCAGGTTAAATTGGAGAAACTGCGGCTCACAGAACAGGTGACCGAAATAAAACCACAAAGGCTCCAAAATAAAATAAAACTCATAACCTTGGACCCCACAATTTTCAAGCAAAGCCTCAAATTTTCGGCGTTTCCATGTGCCACCACCATAAAACAGATTGCCGGTCCAAATTATCTTCTTTTGAAAATAAGAAGAAAAGGAAAGGTACAATTTCATCTTCGATTCCCGAATTTGCAAATGATGTCGCGCTTTTTTGATCGAAACAGTAGCAGAATAGGAACCATTTTATAAAAAAAATCGTTTACCCTATAAGAATTATTTAAATTTTTTTGGTTCTTTCTGAGCATTTCCTTGAATACTTGTTGAAAATTTAGAGACAAAGGATTCGAGTTGTAACTTGCTTCAATTGTCTTCATACAGCTGTTGACATCTTGAGCGAAAAGACCATTTCCGAGAGCCTCAATTTAGCCGGAAGGAGTTCTGAAGTTGATCCAAAACCTGGTTTGCAAGTTTGACTTTAAAAAACTACTCAATAAGTCTTGATAGAAGATGAAATTTTTCGACCTTTTTTTTTAAACTTAGCTCGAATTCAGCCGACAGGTCTTTTATTTGGAAGTAGTTTGAGAAAAAATCAATCCAATCAAAAATCTAAATAAAACATTTCGAGAGTTTGGTTAAATGTTAATAATGAACGTGACAAAGTTTTCAGAATTTTCATTTAGTATTGATGAATGCTTCTAAGATATTTTTCCAATCAGAACTAAACGTCTCTAGCAAGTTTTTGATATCTCAGAGCGAGTTTTTCTACCCGAAATTCTCACATTTGACATGAACGCGGTATTAAATCCTGGCAGAATTGATGTGGATTGGAAAGACGCACTATTACAATACTTTTCTCTCGACTTATCTGTTTTTAAGAAATCGCAACTTGATTTTTTTTTTCGACTTTGGAGGACCCGAAGAAAAATAGTTTTGAAATTCGAGACTTTCAGGATTTTTATCTGGTATATAAGTAACTTCATTTTCAGCAACGACTTTTATGTTTTTTTTTCCATTTTGAGGAAACTCCCAACCAGAAAAAGAGCCAACCTTGGCCTGGATCAGCAAGCAATTTAGATGGAAATTTTGTTATTCTGTAGTATAATTTTTTTAAAGATGCTATAAAATCAAGTTTTATCAATAAATTAGAACTGGTCTGCAAATGGGTAATGTCACTGATAACAAAGTTGTTGTCTGTGGAGCGCCCTTTCTCTTGCTGGCCAGGGCGTTAAGGCAGCATTGACGTTTGTAATATTATTAATAAAAACGTGAAAGTTCCTTTACTCTTTTTCTAATACTTGAATACTTTAGCTTTGTAGTGCATTTTTTTGCCGCAAGAAAAAAAAGCTCATTTTACAACCTTAATAAAATTCTTTCTCTTTTTGTCACAATTTTTTGTAATGATGTGCAAGGTACCATTCATTTTTTTCTTTCATTTTTTTCAAATTGAAAAAAAGCATTTTCTTTTCTAGTGATCGTTTTTTTCACATTAAATGCTTATTCATGATGAAATGTTTTTCATTCTTACGGCATATTTATAAATGATTACACATATAGAGTTCTTTTTTTGGAATGAAAAGCTCAATCGAAATAAATCGATTTTTTTGAAAAGCTCTATGTGTAATCATTTTTTTCAATAATCGAGTAGAGAAAGAGATTTGAAAGAGCTCGTAGAAATCTATAGTGACATTGATAACAAAGATGCTGTCCGTGGAGCACACTTTCATTAATAAAGCGACCTTTTGAGAGGACTTCTATTGTACATTTTTTTGGAAATGTAACAGTTTCAGATTAATTATTTCATATTCACACATTTTTGTTTCACAAATTCAACATTTTAACAATCATCAAATAATACAAACCGGTTAATACTTGTACGATTTTCACCTGCCTTCTTTGGTTTTTTGTATTCTGGTGAAATTCAAGAAATTTAAATATTCTGGTGAAATTCCAGCCGATTTTCAAATATTCCACTCATTTCACCATTTTCCAGCATTTCTAAATTTGCTTCCCATGAAATCTTGTGAATATTTTTTATCCACCTTGCCGACGACTTTTCTATCAGAACGCTTCAGCTTCATCTTTTTTTATCACAGAGAATAGGCGAAGATTCGATGAATGAAACTACAACTACCCTTCAGCTTATCAGTTTTTGATAGTCCACAATATCAAGCTACAGTCTCCGATTAGGTCCTATCTCTTCAAAGTGCAAAAAGTGATAAACCTGATAAGTCAAAGAAAAACGTTGACGTTGAAGTTGAAACTAAAAAAATTACCGAATATCTGACGTTTTTTTGAATTTGATGTGACCTGGATATGAATGAATTCATTCAAATAAAAAGCTCCGAAACAGTTCACGAGGTACCAGTTATGTTATAGAAACTAGAGAAAAAATTTTTGGAAGTACGCGTCAATTTAAAAAAAATAAAAATTGCGCTTCTAGTTCCTTAAATACTGTTTCAAACACCTAAACGGAAAAATTGAAAAAAGGAAAAAATGACCACTGAAAAAATGACAATTTCTTGCAAAAACAGTGATCAGAAGAGAAGTTATTTCAATATTTCAATCATTCTTGACTTTCTCCTTATCAAAACGTTTCCTGATTGTCTTGAAGGTTTTCGATACGATGAGCAGTATGACTATGAAGAGAAGCAAAAAAAACTAGGGCAATATCTATGCAATAATAAAAGAAAATCGACATGTTGGACCCTGGGAGATCGAAAATCTGAAAAAGACTTCACATTGTTGGAAATGAAGGCGATCTGACCTGGTGAAGCTCTGGATTTGCGGCGGCAAACTCGAACCATTCGATGAAGCTTTCTTTTCCACTGTTAGGCTTCGTTTTTATCATAGACGCCACTCGTTTTGCGTTTCTTTTGTAACTAAAAAGATTTGAAAAATCAATATTTGTGATATTAGAGAAAACCTCGGATCTCTTATAAGCTTTTCTAGAGCTATCTTGATTTTTTCAAAAGTCAGTTCATGTTTTTTGACGATGATCGATGTTCCTCGCTCAGCCGCTAAGAATAAAATTGATAGCTTGAATCAGATGAAGAATAAAAAGACCATTTAGTGCATTATGCCTTTGATCAACAAATAGAGGAATCGCCAGCGTCGGAACTCCAGCTGCTGAAGTTTCCAGAAATGAGTTGAGTCCCATGTGACTGACAAATCCGATCACTCTCTCATCATCTGAAATACGTTTTATAGAGACATAATTGTGTTAAGTTACGGAGTATGTCAGTCTGAGGCAGCCAAGACTTCAGGTGGACGTTTTTGACGCCTTCAAACAGCTTCGAGTCATCTTCTGTCACATCGTACTTCCAGAGGAACGTGACGTCGGGAAATTCTTGGAAAGCTCTCACGAAATTTTGACGTATCGAAAATGGAATGGCTGCTGTTGCGACCTGAAATAAACTATTTCCAAAATGTATAAGGAAGGAATTTCTCTCAAATCTTCCCACTTTCCACGAATTTTGGGTCATATAACCCTAAATCAATCTTTTCCAAAGACGATTTCTTGAAAACGGCCGTGAAAATCAAAAAGCATCTCAATTCAGGACGTAAATATGTGTTTTGAAATATTTTGAAAGTATTCGTAGGGTTGAATAAACTGAAATTTTTGTAGAAAACATTGAAACCTGAGTGCCGAAAGAGAAAATAACAGTTCCCGTTGAAGAAATGCTCAAAATCTCGTCGAATTCCTGTTTCAAATCCATTGAAACATGAAAAAAACCGGTCTAAACCTTGTTCAGCGGCTTTGAGTTTGTCTTTCCAATGCCACCAATGTAGCGAATTTTAGACGAGATAGGTACTGCTTTTTCGACAATTTCATTCGAATTTACAAAAATCAAGCTGATTTCGCGGTTGATTCTCTCGATTGGAATGAATCCTTCCCCAAAAAATCTTCTACCCAGGTCGTTCTGAAAATCAAAACTCAAACATTATTCTGGGTGAAAATTCACCATTCGATTGGCGTCTTCAGAATAAACAACATGGAGGTAATAAGCCGATTTGAAAAGATGAAAAAGTCTGTCCCAAATCCCGCCATCAGTTTCAGGAGACAATGGACCTGCAATTCTCCATCTTATAAAATAATAATTTCACGAAAAAACTGACTCAGAAAGACGCTAGCCGGTGTTGGAAGTCCAGCGGAAATTCGCTGGTTGGGAAAAAGAGGAGTGGGAGTGAAAGCTGCAAAGTCAATATTTATGAGAGTTCGAGGGAATTAGAGAACGAAACGCTGAGTCCTTCAAACTACTGTAGTTTTATATTTTCAAAACCGCTTTTTGGGCGTTCAGAGGCGTCGAACTTTCCGGGAAAGCATGAACTTTTCTGGCCCAAAATTACTTCTTTTTGCTTTTCACTGAACACAGCAGCCGTATAAAAGTCTAAAAGTCGGCTGCATCAAACACTTACATTAACTCTGAAAAATGTACTCACTCACGATCGAAGGCACGTTGGCATGCTTCAAAAGCAGCGGACCGCAGGAGTCGTAGTCATTGGTCAATCCAATTTCATATTTTCCTTCTCGAAGGAATTCCATAACACCGCCTTTTTTCAGGCCGCCTTGAAAAAACCAACTGATTTCGGATAAAAAAAAACGAAATAATATTTTTTTGGAAGACGTGCTCATATGTTTGAAAGGGACCCGGAAAGTTGAATTTTCGGGGGATTATCTATCAAGAGAGGCTGAGATGCTCCAAAGGCTCTTACGATTTTCAAATGATGGCTTTCGGGTCTCAGAATTTCAAAGTTTAGCAAATGGACATTCTCGAAGACGTCTTTGGAAACTCCGAGAAAAAAAATACTTGACTCTATCTTCAGACGGTTCCCATACAATTTCTCGCTTGACGACAAGTTCTGTTCATACTAATTAAAAGCTTTTTTGAAAGTAAAGTAGCAAGAAAAAAAAATTTAAAATGTTCAAAAACCCACATTCACAGAGTTCGTAGGCAAGTCTTGTGTAATTTTGCAGATCGACAATTTTTTTCGGCTCTTCAATAAAAATTTCTTCCAGATGAGCAGTATTTTTTCTGTAGTACCCTAAAATGCATGTTTCTAGATCCACTCAAAAAATTATAAAAATCAAACCAGGTGTTTCAAAACTAATTTCGAAGCTGCGACGAAACTTGAGAGATCCATTCCCGATGACCCCATCGTTCAGCCGAGCGAATATCACGTCCTAAAAGAAAATTTGTCCCAATTTTGAAAGAACACAGATTAAAATTAGGAGTTTTTTTTTTGGTTTTTTAATTGCTAAATTGAAGTTCTAGTATAAATTTGCACTTTGAGATTTTAATCATGTAATAGAAAAAAGGAAACTAACCACATTGTGCCCACGTTCGTTGAGACTTTCGATGAGAGAAGAAACAAAATGGAAATGGCTTTTTCCAATGACCATAAGAAAGACGACGACGTCTAGGCTGACAATTGTAGGAGTAATCAGAAAAATCAGGAAAAGCCATCTGGGAAACATCTTCGGCATCTGAAAATCGTTTTTAAAAAACTCTTCTGGAAGTCTTAGAAAGCTTTACAATGAAAATCATTTCACTTTACGGTTAAGAATTTTCTGAAAGTTGGCCGGAACACTTCTTGATGTATCACAAAAGGATTCTGAAAGTCTTAACTTGCATAATTTCTTAGTTTTTGAGAGAACACTCCTCAAAGTTAAAAAAAACTTCAAAATCTGTTAAAACAGGCTATTCAGGACTCTGAGCCCTCATATCTCGAAAACTAGAGTTTTTAAGGTTGAGACTTTCAGGATCTTCTTATGACACATCAATGAGCGTTCTGACCAACTTTGTAGAAATTCCCAAACAAAAACTGATTTCCCTTATTAGAACTCATAAGTGAAATCATGAAAGAGAAAACTTTTGCGATCAGAAAATAGAAAAATCGAATCCTAACAGCCAAGACGTCATACAAGAAATTTCAAATACAGCAAAAATAGCTGTTGCGAGGCCGCATTTGTTGACAATGAAAAAAATGCGCACTTGGAGCTAATGGATGCGAGCTAATGGATACATTGTCCTTAATTTTATTTATATACAAACTTTCCTTCTAATTCTACCTACAAAGAAATGATCCGTGAAAAGAAAAAAATGAAAAAAACCATTAATTTTTAAACGGCTCCATACTAACTGATAAGAACGATTTTCAACACTCAGACTATAAATGATAACCAGTTAAAAAGTCACGTGCTCAGTTTGACTTTTTTGAGGATCGATTCTGTTCAATTACGTAATTGTTGAAAACATTTATTAATGTACCAGAAAAAGATACAAAATTTTCAGCCTGTTAAAGTTTTTAGTTTTCGAGAAATGAGAGCTCAATCGCTTGAAAATGGCCTCTTCTAGCGGATTTCGAGAGTTTATTGGATTTATTTTATACATACATGTAGGTGTGCTCTTTCAAAAAATAAAAAGTTCTACAGAAATCTTCAAGGTCAACAGCAGGTACATTGAAAAAGGATTCTGTCTAGTTTTCCCGGAATACCCAACCGCTAAGCGATTAAATTTTTTGTCAGAGAGCAAAGAAAAAGTATGATTCAGAACAGAGTTCGATCGGATACTATCGAGAATTAGTCTCGCGTTTTTCATATCCTTAAAGTTTCGATTTGCCTATCCTTGAAGAAAGATTGAAGTGCTCAAAAAGTGTAGTGTTTCGATAATTTAAAAAAAAATTAAGACGGCGCAGAGAGAGTTCAAAAAATAAAACGAGGAGAAGCAGGTTAAGCCACCCTCGGGAGCTTCATCTGGTTTTGTGCCTACTACAGACTGATAAGGCCCTGCGATTCTCTAATATCAAAATTTGCTGATAACAGTTCAAAAATATTGGGTTTCATGGGTTTGACGCGCAGAGGAGCTAGCCAGTTGATGTATGAATCAAGTTTTTTTTTCGATTACGGAAGCAAACTCGATATTTACTAAGTATGTCTCGTGAAACAAAAAAATAACTTTAACCACAGGTCATGGCGTGAAGTTGATTTCATTACTAAAGTGAAGGCTTGAAGGTAATGGGGCTCTTTGAGGCTGAACTTAATGAATCTATCACACTTGAATAGAAACAAAAACATTATAATAAGCAAATCGTGTATTTTTCTACTTTTATTCCAGGGTAAAAAAATGAATCTAAGAACCAAACGACCATCAACTTTCGAATATTTCAATTTGAAACAAGCATAGGAGAAGATCCCATCGAAAGTCATTTTTTTGTTTAAATACCTTCCGAAAAAAACGGCGAGAGCTTTTTTTAATAGTAAAGTTAAAGACATGAAATAAAAATGGTCAAAAAGCTCAAAATTTCGGCCTCAGAAAAAGGTTTGAAGTCAAAGACATCTATCAGGTTGTAATAAACGTTTTTCTAAGCTGAAAAAATCAGGATTTTTGAAAAATTCTTCGACGAAGTTGCTGGTCATTTTCATAAAACACCGATCAACAATACTCTTCGATCTTCTTAATAAGTTGGGAAGATTTGCTTTCGGTTCCTCGGAAGGCGTTTGGAAGCTTTCCGGAAAGTGGTCAAACGCCTTCCACATAGCTTCCCACCAATTTCTAATTTGAAAAAAAAAGCCTGCCAAAAGCCTTCCAGAAGCCCGCTGGAAAATGGAAGGCTTCTGGCAGGCATTTTTCATTTTCACCTTCAAAATACCTTCCGTTTACCTTATGAATATCTTTCCAAGGCTGACCTTCCAACCTCCCGTTGGTTACCTTCCCAACACCTTCCCAGAATTCTCCTGAGCTCCTTGTCAGAACAATAGGGAAAACCACAATTTTTGAAAACCCGCCGCATTCCTTCATTTAGAAAAGATTGCCTCGTAAAAATTATTCAGAGACTCCCCAATAAAAAATCAAACTGTCATTTATCCCTTGAAAGGACATTCGAAGGAGGTTTTACAATTTTCAATTACAGAAAAAAACTTTTTTTATAGAAGTATGAGACAAGGGTTTTTGTGCAGACTTATCAGGCAATCCAACAGCAACGAGTATATTTTGACCTACACCTAAAAGTTGCATGAAAACGTGACCCCGCCAAAAAAGGCGCCTCTGACCTTTTCACGTTGTCTTCTACGGACAAATCTATATTCATGCACACGTTATCCGCTGCAGAAAAACATATTTTCCGTTTCGTTAGAAAAATATTTTTCCTGCGATTTCACTGGAGAAAACGTCCTGAGAATGGTTATTCTTCTGATTGTGGATACCAAGCTCTAGGCTCCATATTGAATGCTGAAATGGCGCTTTTTATTAGCTATTCTCCACCACTTGCTGCAAAGAAAGGTATTTTTGATAAATGTGGAGACTCATGTCTCATCTTGTATTTATTTCAAGGACGGAGTTCTATACAAAAACAACGATGGATGTTGCAATCACACAGATTTCCAGGTTGAAAAAAAAAAGTTCGTTTTACTTTATTGATTATTCACAATATGAGAATAACTAGCAAATCCCTGCATTTAAAGGAAGATTTTTATATTGCAATTGAAAGTTTGTATGAAGATACGCCTTTGTCTCATGCTTCTATAGAAAGAAAATCAGTATAGAAGATGAAATTTTTTCTGTTCCCGTTAATTTTTTTTTGCGTAATCTGTCGTAACATCGAATAGAAGGTGTCTCACTACGTTGAGAAACAATTGTTAAACACTTTAATTTAAGTAGAAATTTGTTTCAAAAATCAAAATGAACCTTCGAGCTCCCGCTGGAAAAAGTACCGCTGCGCCAATAAATTTTTGGAAAATGCGTTCAGCCAAAAATTTTCTATTCATCAGGTGTTTTTTTCCACATCTGATACCACGGTGATCTGTTTCAGTCTGAGAAAGCTTTGTAGCGTTCTTTGGTTGAAGGCCGATACTTGTAAATCCGGTTCTAAAATATCTCATTGACGATTTTCTAACTTCCGAAATACAGAAAATCCACCACAAGTAGTCACTAATTGTTTTTGAATCGGACTTCATTGGGAAATCTTGAATTTCGAATTTCCGTGTTCGATTTCCTCTTGATCAGATCCAAACGCAATGCGAATTTGTTCAGCAGACTGTGTTTTTCGGTTCCCTAGGTGTTTTCTTGACGTTGCTGGTCTTTAAATGTTCTTTTTGAACACAGACAAAGCACTATAACATTTCAAATTAACTCCAAACCATCTTAATCAGCCGAAAGCACCGTTCAGTCATTTGACTAGGAACCATTTTCGGAAATAGTGCAGATAAATGATCTAATGAATGACTTTCAATTTTTTCGAGATCAAAAAAAAACCACTAGAAGTAGTCACTGGCCTTTAATGAATCAAATAGAACCGGGAGATTAGGAATTAAAATCTCCGTGTGTTAATGATGGTATGAAAAAAAGACCAGCGAAAATTCAAACGGCGACTTTTCCGATTTTTTCAATTTGCTAGGGTACTTTCCGATGGCCACTTTTCCGCCGAATCTTTTTCTGACTTTTTTTCGCGATTAACTTTTTGTTTTGAATCTTCCCATAGAAAGTAGGTAGTTTATTCATGATTAAAACACAAAGGAATGGGAAAAAATATTGGCAAGGTGGCCGTCGGAAAGTTCCCTAGCAATATGAAAAAATCGGAAAAAATTGCCGTTCAAATCTTTGATGGGCTTTTTTCCATATCACCGTTTCAATTTCTCTTGATCACAGCAACGAACAAGGCAAAAACGTTCTTCAGTCAAATTTTTCTCATTAATTTAGCGTTTTTGTGTTATTAATAATTACTTACAGATTAGTTAGTTGTATGAAAATAAAAAAAGGACAAAGTCTCATTAAGTTTTACCATCCAAATACGCAAAAAAGCGATGCGCAATGGCAACTTCCGTAAAATGCCTACTGATGCCCTTTTCAGTTCTAAATTATCGTCAAATCGAGTTTTTCCTGCGTCTATTATTTTTGTAGGGTCATATAAAGTCTACATAAACTTAATTCAGTTGATAGAAACTGACTTCCAACATGAAAAAGGCCCAAAAACGGGCTTACGCCCAAAGTTCCGCTTTGCGTCGAGTGCACGCATAAAACTTCCTCCCCTTCTCTCTCTTTTCAAATTTCACACGCAGTTTTCATTTTTTCATGTTTTTCATTTTGATTTATCGTTTTTTATGTTTTTTTTTCCTTTCCATCTAAAGTGTTCATAAGTTTCCAACGTTTCTGAAGTAGTTGCATGCGAAAACTGACTGATAACTCAAAATTCTGGCCAGCCCTTGATATTTTCCAGTTTTTGCCCTCATTTCAACAAGAATCAAGCTTTTTCCATTCAGTTTTTTGCACATTTAAGACTAGTTCTGTGGTCAGAATTTAACTTTCATAATTTGATGTTGTTTTGAATGAGGAAAAAAGTATAACATTCGATTTTTCGACTTTGACAGCTAGTCGAATTTCCACTAGTTTATTTTTTTGCGTAATCTGTCACAATATCGAATAGGAAGCATCTTAATACGTATAAAAACAAAACGTACATGAACGAAAAACATTCAGAGTACAGTAGAAACTTCTTTTCAAATCAAAAAACCTTTTGTCAGAATTTTTTCTGAGGATAGTCACTGTGCTTGGGCATTTTCAGCAATATCAGTTCATCCGATGATTTTTTCATTCATTAAGTGTTTTTTTTCATTTCTTATACCACGTTAATCCTTTACAAGTCTGAAAAAACTTTGAAGCGTTGTATCGTAACTTTTTACCCTGGTAATCAGCCAAAAAGGAGTCTTTAACTCTTTGAACCGAGACCGTTACTCGTAAATCCGGTTCTAAACAATCTCATTGACAGTTTTCTAACTTCCGAAATACAGAAAATCCACCACAAGTAGTCACTGATTGTTACTAAACTAGTAATAATGTAGAATTACCTGAATTCGAACCATCATGTTTGAATTTCCTATTCACAGAGCGAAACCCAAGGCAACTGCGTTGTTCATTAGGATTTTTCTTGCTATTTTTGCTTTTTTCTGTGATAAACATCAACTTTTAATTTTGTTAATTGAATGAGAAGATTTTTAAAACTTATCGTCATGACTTTTTTCCCTTTCGAATACGCCAAAAAAAGCGGTGCAAAAGAGAAACTTTCGTAAAAAAAGCCTTTTTAATGCCCTTTTTCCGTGCCAAATTATTTTTCAAATTCAGCTCTTTCTGTGATAAAAATCAACTTTTAATTTCGTTAATTGAATTAGAAACGTTTAGAACTTATCGACATGACCTTTTTCTATTGTAATACGCCGAAAAAAGCGATGAACGAGAGCAATTTCAACGAAAAGCCTTTTAATGCCCTTTTCCGTTCTAAATTATTGTCAAATCAAGTTTTTTCTGTGAAATTATTTTTTAAGGCCCATTGTTAAGTTTTGAGTACTAAATTGAATAATTTCGCTTCATTTTTTGTGGTTTCGACCGCGTTCAGAAGCTTTTTTTTGTAACTGACTCGAATAAACTTAAACGAGCAATATATATAATATTTTTAACGTTGAATAACCTTGTCCAAATGTTTTGAACAAAGTAAATCATAATTCAGAGTAGGAAACTGATAGTTTGTTGAAGCCTTTTTGCTTTGAAAATTAAATTTGCCGTGCTTCCAACAAATAGTGATTCGATGTTGATTTTTTTTTTCTTCGTTATTTAGTTGTTCCGCTTTTCGTCAATGAACATGTTTCTATTGAACATTTAAAGGATTATGAGCGGCAACCGCAACCTTAGCAACTTCAATTGCAAAGATATGGAGTCCCGTCGTCAAGGGAGATCCTCGTCGAACTTGGACAACAAAGGTAATTATTTTAACAAAACAAAAATGATGAGAAAAATGGAAAACTTCTACAAAAAGTAAGAAATTGTTTGAAAGTTCAGATGAATAGGCTTTTCACAACAAAGTTTTCAATTCCTTTGTTTTTTTTTCTGAACACATGAGGTCCAGAAGATATTTTTTATTGACGAGCGCTCTTCAAAACTAGGGAAAATTGTTCGAATAAATCTAAAAAACATCGTATGATGTTATGTGAGCCACGAAACTTATTTAGGAAGTTTAGGCCTGCGTTCAATTTCGGCCTGTCCTTCTCGCGTGATCAATCCGCAAAAGACTACTCATGGTAAGTTTCGAATATCGGATGTGTACGAGATCATTGGAAGTTTTCATTCCATTTCTCCGCATTTCAGAAGTAGTGATATATTCTTTGAACAAAAAATTGGAGTTTAGGAGCCGCCGTCGTTCATTCTCACAAACTCTCTGCCATGCAAAAACGAGTACCCTGGGACCTTTCCCTGGCTGTCAAAAAAAGGTAAAATAGTTAAAATGAAAACTTCTTGATTTTTTCTTCAAGATATTCATTACTTTAGTGCTCATTATGAATGAAAGATGGAGAAAAAAGTATTCTTTTCTGATATCTTCATACAACAATAATGTTTTTCAGAGAAACAAGAGAGAAAAGAAGATGAAGATTATTACCTTAAATTGAGCCAGCTGGATCTCAATACGGACTACGCTCAAATGGTCCCAATCGTCGAAGCCCGGCGGGCAGTCCTAGCCGAAAGAGGTTGGTATTTTTCTTTCTATTGTACTATTGTATTGAAAATTTACAATTGGTTCATCACTCGAAGAAAGGAATGTAGAGCAAAAACTTTCTGAAAGTCTGAGACTGACGGAAAAAATTCCTTTCAATAAGTTTGTTTTCCTACTGCTGAATAATGAACAGATGAATCGGAAATTTTTCAGCGTCTCGACCTGTGAAGAACGACCACGTCGCACCTTTCTTTCCAAATCGACGATCTAAAAAGCACGGGTCATCACGCCGCTGTTTCCATCGCGGAAACCCCGAAATTTTTGTAAGAAACTTTTTTTCATTCAGAGTAAAAAAACGTCAAAGTTTTTCTATTTTTGTATTTCAAAAAAATGATAGTTTTTTTCTCAGAAAGGCATGGCACAGAATGAAAAATAATTTGTCTTTCAGTCATTTCCAAGGTTATTCAATGAAATTTCGTGAACATTTCAGAAGAAAAGCTCTAAACTAGACTTATTTTTTGCAGGCCTTAGAAAAGAGACCCGCAATTTTGCCTCCAAGGATTCGAAAGTTCCTCACCGTGAACCAATCGCGAAGGCCATCAAAAATAAAACAGGTAAGTGAATTATAATCACTAAAAGAAGCATAAAATATTTAAGAAGTTACTGAAGTCTCCCGAAAATTAAATTCCAAAAAGGAAAAACAAGATCAGCATTGTAAAAAGTACTGGAAAACCCTTCTAATTTGATGTGAAAAATTTTTTTGAGTTACTATTTGAAAAAAATTCCTTTTTTCAACCGACATGTAAGAAATTCAACCGGAACTTGTGATCGCAAAAAGACTTCAATTAGGATTTTTCATAGAGCCATCAAATCTTCATCTTGCAGATGTTCCCGGATATCGCAATATTGGTTTTTTTCTGAATGTTCGAAGGTCGACTTAGATTCCGCTTTTTTTACGTCGAGAAGAGTGAAGGTAAAAAAACTTTACTAATTCAAATTTGAAAAACGATCACTTATCTATTTATCTCATATAACTTCATATGATATTTTTTTCCAATTTTTTTGCTTCAAATTATGAAAAAAACATCACTTACTCAAAATAAAAAAATACGATTTCTGCAGAGAAGTCGACTTTTGCCCGATCGTCGCATTTCCAATACGAAACGACTCGCTGGTGAGAAAATTTCCTATTCCAAAAAAATACGAAAATTCATTTTTTTCAAGAGCTTTCTTGAAAGCGAATATAGCAGCCAAAAAGAAAAAAATTCTTCCGAGCGAAAAAAACCTTTTTGAAAAAAAGTTTTATTCAATTTTGCAGTAGAAGTTTTTCTCAGGAAAATTTTTGATGAGATATCTCAATTTCGGAGATAAAAAATTTTCATGAAAATATCTCTGACGTAACGGATAAGAATTTATGTAGCCTATAAGTTTGAAAAATTTTTCTTAAATTTTATTTTTCTTTATTGATATTATTTTTCATAACTACTTTTCAGGTGATGTTCCAAATTTTAATAATGAGCTTTCAGTTGTTTCGGAGTCCATGGTGGACCTGGAAAACTCGGACATGTTCCAGGACATTGAAAACTATATAGCAAACATCCGTTCGCAGAAGCAGCTCACCAAAGGTGAGAAAAAGACGTTTTGCGCTCATTTGGGCCGTTTCACAAACTTCAAAATCATTTCTCATCGTAGAACTTTTTTTTCAGAGTCGAACCCCGATCGTCGAATGGAGTCGTTTGAAGACTTCCACACAGTCAAAGCATCCCTGGAAAAGCCTGATATTTCAGGTATCAGTAGTAGTTTAGACAATTTTATGAGTTCATCGCATATGTCTTTATCAGGATTTGAATATAAACTTTTTTGGGATAAATTCACCATATCAGGAAAGAAAACTTTTTAGAATACGTTTAGATTTTTTACTGCATGCACTTGGTTCTCATGTCATTTTAAATTTGTGAAAAAGCGAGAAAAGAAAGAGTGTACAACTTTAATGTTGAACTAGTTTATTCCTATCTTGAAAACTTACAAGTGAAATGTGTTTGGATTGCAGTGTAGAAACAATAATTTGAAAAGTTCTGCTCTACGGAAGGAAATTAATGAATTCCATTCCTTTGAAACATAAAAAAATAATTATTCCAATATTTCAGGTGGCACCGGAGCTGTTGTCGACAAACTGATTACTGGAGGAAAGAAAATCGCTGTGAAGAAATCGTCTGAGGAGAAAATCCACAAAGGCTCCCAGAACAGAGATTGATTCTCATGACTTCTCTCTCATGTACCATTAAAACTTCTATTTCAATTTTATTTTGTTTCAGTGTTCAAACAGAACATGTCATTTAAAAAAACTGTCTATCATGTGCCATAAAAAAATGCGTCATTCAAATCAATTGTGTCGTTTAACTGTCTTTCATCTGTAAAATAAAATTATCATTCGAATTCCGCGTTGTTTTTTGCATTGCGAAGAACCTCAAAAACAATTCTCCCAAGGAATTTTGGAGGATAGCAACATTCGAAGTAACTTTTTTCGCTTGATCTGTCACAATATTGATTAGGAAGTATCTTATTATATTGAGAAACATTATTCAAACATTTTGGGTGGAGTGAAAACTTGTTTTGAAGTTAGTAATAACTTTTTCCCTGAGCTCCCGCTGGAAAAAAGTGCCGCTGAGCCAATACATTTTTTGAAAATGCGTTCAGCCAAAAATTTTCTATTCATCAGGTGTTTTTTTTTCACATCTGATACCACGGTGATCTGTTTCAGTCTGACAAAGCTTTTTAGCGGTGTATCAAAATTTTTTACCCTTGAAATCAGCCGAAAAAAAACTCTCCACTCTTTGGTTTAAGGCCGATACTTATAAATCCGGTGTTAAAAAATCTCATTGACAGTTTTCTAACTTCCGAAATACAGAAAATCAACCACAAGTAGTCACTGGTTGTTATTAAACTAGTAATAATGTAGATATATCTGAATTCGAACCATCCTGTTTGAATTTCCTATGCACAGAGCGATGCACTAGGCAACTGCTCTGTTCAGTTAGATTTTTTTTTGCTTTTTTTGCTTTTTTCTGTGATGAATATAAATTTTTAGTTTTGTTGATTGAATGAGAAGACTTTAAAACTTATCGTCATGACATATTCCCTTTCGAATACGCCATAAAAAGCAGTGCAAAAGAGCAAATTCCGTAAAATGCCTTTTAATGCCCTTTTCAGTCCTAAATTAATGTCAAAACAAGTTTTTTCTGTGTCTATTATTTTTCTAGGCCCATGTAAATTTTATATAAACTCAATTCAAGTAATAGAAACTGACTTATAACATGAAAAACACCCAAAAACGGGCTTACGCCTAAAGTTCCGTTTTGCGTCGAGTGCACGCATAACACTTCCTCCCCTTTTTTTCTCTTCTCAAATTTAACACGCAGTTTTGATTTCTTTTTATGTTTTTTTATTTTTGATTTATTGTTTCTTATGTTATTTTTTTCTTTCCAATCGGAATGTTCAATAGTTTCCAACGCTTCTGAAGTAGTTGCATGCGAAAAACTGACTGATAACTCAAAATTCTGGCCAGCACTTGATGTTTTTCAGTTTTTGGCCTCATTTCAACAAGAATAAAGCTTTTTCCATTCAGTTTTTTGCACATTTAAGTCTATTTCTATAGTCAGAGTTCAACTTGTGATAATTTCATGTTGTAATGAATGATGAAAAAGTTCAAATTTCGATTTTTGTAGCTTGGACAGCTAGTCGAATTTCCCCTTGTTTTTTTTTGCTTGATCTGTCACAATATTGATTAGGAAGTATCTTATTATATTGAGTAACATGGATCAAACACTGTGAGTGGAGTGAAAACTTGTTTTTCCAGTTAGTAATAACTTTTTTCCCTGAGCTCCCGCTGGAAAAAAAGTGCCGCTGAGCCAATACATTTTTTTGAAAATGCGTTCAGCCAAAAATTTTTTTTTCTGTGATGAATATAAATTTTTAGTTTTGTTGATTGAATGAGAAGACTTTAAAACTTATCGTCATGACATATTCCCTTTCGAATACGCCATAAAAAGCAGTGCAAAAGAGCAAATTCCGTAAAATGCCTTTTTAATGCCCTTTTTCAGTCCTAAATTAATGTCAAAACAAGTTTTTTTCTGTGTCTATTATCAAATTTCACACGCAGTTTTTCATTTCTTTTATGTTTTTCATTTTGATTTATTGTTTTTTATGTTATTTTCTTCTTTCCAATCGGAATGTTCAATAGTTTCCAACGCTTCTGAAGTAGTTGCATGCGAAAAACTGACTGATAACTCAAAATTATGGCCAGCACTTGATATTTAACGGTTTTTTTGGCTTTATTTTTAACAAAAAAATAAAGCTTTTTTTCCATTCAGTTTTCTGCCCTGTTGATTTGAATTTTATGATTAACATTCCGTTTCCAATAATTTCACACAGTTCAGATTAGAATAAAGAACTTACGACTTCGATTTCTGCAACTTTGAACTCTAACCAAGTTTTTCATTATATTTCATAGGGTAACTAGTACAAACGTTTATGAAAATAATTTCTCTCTATCAATTCAGTTCATTAATATAATTCGAAAATAGTAAAACATAACTCTGTAGCAAAAAATAACTCTCTGAACGAGTTTTAGCTGTGAGTCTAACAACCGTTTCTGAAATAGAACAGTGCTCACGTCTCAAGTCCAACTTGTCGTTTTCTCTCTAAAAATTTCTCGAAAAATTGAACTAACGCGTCTGTTTTCAGTGCTGCACGATGTCCGCCAACGACGCTAGCTTTATGAAAAGTACTCAGGCGAGCAGATCGAGAAAGGGTAAGTTCACTTTAAAGAAAAAGTGTGATAAAATAAGTTATCTGTGAAAAAATTGTCTGGTTTGATTAGTTTTCTGAGGTGAAAAAAAAATAACTTCGCTCGACTACTGCAAATGTTGAATTTCAGAACGTCGCTCGTCTTTCCTATACGGAATAAACGAAGATGGAGACGTCGTCATCACTGGTAATATTTTTGATTTATATTTCCCCGGAAAAAAAGTTGTTTTATATGAAAAGTAGTAACATAAAAGCTTTCTTTCCTGCTGTTACAATAGAAAGCGACACCAAAAAGCTTGTAATGGATATAATTTTTTCGAAGCTTTCGAGATTTGGTGATAATAACTTGGAAATCGAGCTTATGGAAAATATTTCACAAAAATAAAATGAAAAACAGAAACTGACTTCATTTATTTCCAGGCCAGCAACGTCGATCTCGCTCTTATGCTCAACGCGGAGTCAAGGCTCAGACCACACGAGCTAAAAGCGCAATGCCGAAGTTGAACGGAGCTCCCTGCCTGCCTTCCGCAAAAGGTGAGTTTCAGTACTCAAAAAGAAATGAATGGTGTGTTTGGAATCACTATGAGCCAAATAATAAAAGTTACTTCTCCTTTATAGTAAGAACTTGAACTGAGTTGTCTCAGGCAAGATCGAGAAGAACGTTTGTCGTCGATCGCGATCTGCTGGCCCACGTCCAGAGCCAATCGTCCGCCGGAACCGCCCGACATCTGTGGGAAACAAGCAAATTTCCAGTAAGTTTTTTCTCGAAAGAAAAGATTGAGATTGGAACTGCAAAGCACAATTATTTTTGCATTTTCTGGTTAGTTTAGTCAGATAATTACAACTTTTTCAGTTTTCATTTCGAGCCAGAATTTTTGCAGAGATTCAACTAGAGATAACTCTGTAGCCTTCTGAGGGGTAATGAAAATAAGAGTACTCTCACGAAAATCAGATTTTTGCAAGGTTCAGTTTGACCACAAATAAGTTTCCTTTAATTTCAGTCATGATAGAATTATTTTCATTCCAACTTTTTCCTAACAACGTTTCATCTATTGAGTACTGCACTCAAAGTCGTTTTTTTTTGTGATATCAAAAGGTTTTTGTTCCGGGTGGAAGGAAAAAAAGAGAAATCATTTTTGCAGTCGCACCTGCGAGTGGTGCCAATGCGCCATTGGTTTCCATGAAGATAGCGGCAGTCGGACAAAAGAACCCAGTGCCATCCACGGACTTTATACCCGTGAATGGTACCGTCAGCAACAAACCAAGCAGTTATACAGGTGAAAATTCTTCTATTTCTGAAATCTTCAGAAAAAATCGGGATGGGAAAGCCAATAAGAAAATTTGCAATGAAAATTTGTTTTGGAAGCCTGTGTATGATTGTTTTCCAAACATTTAAACAAAGGTCATGTCTCCGAAATCTGAGAACAAACTTTCTCTTGCCAGAAAAAAATTCCGTAGAAATGAACTGTTTTGCAGGATGCGATCTTTCGGGGATTCAAGACAGTCGCACTGAACTCGCCAATGGTTCGGTACCAGCAACGGGCTTGACTCCCATTGCTGGCGGCCAACCAGGTTAGTTAAAAAAATAAATTTCAAAAATATCGATAAATTCCGAAACAACATTTGCAAAATTCTTTTTAAATTAACAAAAAAACATAATCCTTACATTTATAGAAAATTCTGAGACTCTGAAAATTATATATAAATTATTCTGAAGCAGTGGAGGATCAGAAAAAATATAATGTTTCAGAAAGCTGCCAAGAAGAATCCGAGACGGCGGAACGAGAAGGACCAAAGTCGGACCTGATTCCCGACAATGGTCTGAAAACTAAACCAGTCCCATCATATGCACGCGCTACAGCTTCGTCGATGAACAGAGCAAAAGGTTTTGATTTTTTCCATTAAACAGTTTGGTAAGCTATACAAAATAATTCTGCAAAATTTATATATTTTCTGAAAACATTTTTCTCACGAAAAAAGCTCAATAATTCCTATCGAATTTGGTTGATGCAACTATCAAAAAGCCATTATGCGAAAAAACTCTTTATTTTCTCGCCTGTAAAGTACGGAGATTGAATATTCAAAAACAAATTTTTCAGATCGTACGGCTTCATATATGCACGGTCTCATGAAAGGATCGATAGTCAAAACTCGAAAAATTCGTGAGTGACATTTGTTAAGATATAAAAACCTTTTGAAGACCAAAAAAGGAAAAAATTTACAGAAACAGTCCTTTTACTCTCAGGTTCTCGAAAACTCATGACTTTTAGTGTCTCTGGTAAATTTTATAACACCGAAACGAACAGTTGGGCAAGAATTGCGAGAATTACTCGTCATTGATAATAATCCGAACATGTTTTTTTGAGATTGGATACTCGAAAATAAACTTCTGAAAGAGAGAAACATCAGAAATTATGAAAACTATCGTATATTATTGTGTAGCAAATAATCAAAGTTTGAAAAGAACAAAATATTTCAGGTCGATCACGTTCAGCCGGTAAAGTCGACCCGAAAAAGACCACCGTACCAGTAAGGAGATCGCAAAGTGTTGGTGAGTAATTCGAAACACTTTTTGTATAGTGTTTACTTGAAAAACTGAAAAAAATGATTTGTCCTCACTTTTTTTGATCATGATTTCGAGAGATAAAAAGAGCATCCAGCCTTTAAAATTGATTGCGAAAATGTAAATTATTATGTTTCATACAACTTTTTTCCGACTGGAGCTTGTATTCATGAAACATTTTACAGCCTAAAAATGGTGTAGAGAGTATTTTTTCAGCACAAGTCAAAAAAGGCGCCAACGAAAAGCCGGCATTGGAGGCAAAAGCCGCGCCACCCAGAAAGAGACAATCTCCTCTCAAAGTCACTCCCTCGACGAAAGGTTGATATTTTGCAATATTTCAAGACAATTCAAACTCCAAAAGTCTGATAAATCACAAGTCTTCTAGTTGCTCAGACTTTTTCGGAACTTTCACTCAATTTTTCCTTTAAAACTTCAAATAGAACGAAAATTGTGAGGCGTTCATATAACGTTTCCATAAAAGTTTAGTGCAGAAAGAAGAGGAATTTGAGTTGAGACTCGAAAAACTTTTCATTCCATTCTTGGTTTCTAGTTTTTTTTTTCTATTAGTTACGATAGTTTATTAAAAATGTTGTAACGGAAAAGAGTCCAAAAAAAGTCGTCTACGTAGTTTTCCGTGACTTTCGAACAAATAATACAGTGTAAATTTTTTTGATTAAGAAACTTCAATTTCAGAAAATGAGTACGTACCGCCGACGAAGAAACCGTCACCTTATCCTTGTACTATCACCAAAAGAGGTGAGTTTCAATTGATATTGCATTTTCCGGAGAATTTTGAGTTTTTGGGCTTTTAATTGATTAAATCTCGCTTGAGAAGAAAAGTGAGATGAACCTAATCCAACTTAATTTCAGTCGTCCCCAAATTGACGCCATACGCAGCAGTTCACCCTCATATGCCAGGTACTTTTTTTTTTTGATTAAAACTTAAAATGAAAATATTCATTTTTTGATACAAAAGTTTTTACCCAAAGTTTCACGTGCGAAAAAAATTAGCATCAACTTCCGATCTCTTTTAAGTCTATGACAAAATCAAAAAAAACAATGCCTCTTTTGCAGAAACTCAAAAAAACGTCTGTGAAGTCGCCTACAAAGGCCCATACGAGATCCTATGTCTCACCGAAGACAGTTTTTGTCCTAGACCTCTCACTCGATCGGAACGCCATTTGCAAGGTCGAGGTACGCGTGAATTTCCTTTCTTGGTTCTTACTTCGAAAAGCGGAACAACTTGGAAAGCCCAAGAAGTTTTGCTTATGAAACTTCAAACGAACAAAAATAATTAACATTTTTCAGATCGGGACCAACATTTTTGCCTCGAAGAGTTCGACATGAACAACGAGAGGAACAAGATTCTTTAATTCAGCAAGGTAAAAAATGATAGTTTTCACTGTCGTTTTTTAATAAAATTTTTCGTCTTTCTAGTTTTTAATAACGCAGAATTTCAAACACAAAGCGAATGAGTTCCTTGATGAGAAGGGGGAACATACGGAAATTCAAACGGAAGGGAATGATTTAAAATTTAGTTCAGTTGGATGAGGATGAAACATTCGTTTGGGTGAATGACACTGTTCTTACTTTGGTACGAAAATGCGGATTTCGATCATTTTCTGATTGATTCGGAAATTCTTTTTCATAGGAAAACTCAGGAACTTCTTGTGGTTTAGGTGTTTTTGAGAAAAATTGTCTCGTCCTAAATTCAATATTGATTCAGTGGCTTGGAAATAGCCATTTCGAGAAAGATTGAGATTACTGGTCGATTCCGCGAATTTTCTGAAGTCTTCTTGGTTGTTTTCTGATGGATGTAGTCGGGCTTCAAAATTGGTACTCACCCGGTTGGATTTTTTGAAAATAAAGTCGCCAAATACTTCTCAAGATGGTTCACAGTTTCTCTTCTCAGCTTCATGAAAATCCAAAAACGTTTCGAATCATTCGCTGGCTCACTCAAAAATTCGTAATGTGACAGTCAACTGAATCATAGTTGCAGCTCGACTTTGCAATGTTATAATAAAAATACTGTCATATTTTATCGTTGACATCAACTAAAGGGGTTTTTCTGAACGAATTTTTCCAAAAAAATGTATTTGCATAGCGAGACTTTTTTTCCAGCGGGAGCTCAGATAAAAAGACAATTTTTTTAATTTTTAAAACTAGGTTCTACTCGAGTCACAATGTTTCATTATCGTTTCTCAACGTATTAAAATACTTCTTATTCAATACTGTGACAGATTACGCTAAAAAAAAATTGAGAGGAAATTTGACTAATTTTTAAATGAACCAAATTGGAATTGAAACTGTTTTTTTTTACTTCAAGCTTGTAAAAAATATTTCATTTTAAGTGCTAATATTGCAAATTAACCAAAAAGTACAGTATGCTTTGTTGATGATCATCTTCTCCAGGTGGGTAGAGTTGGGGACGTCTTTCGCTTTTTTCGTCATTTTCGAGGGGTTGTGGCTCTCTGGTTGAGACGGGGTGGAAGCTGGAGGATGGACGGGCTGCGGATTTGGCACAGTTGAGCATGTTCTCGCAAAGGTGTTTGTAGTCGTCGGTTGGGTCTTCTCTCAGTCTCCATTCGTGCTCCTTGATGTTGTTCCGGAGAATGGCAGGAGGAAAGATGCGTCTCCGAAGACGTGGCGGTTAATGGAGTTTCCGTTTCATCATTCCGTGGTTGAGGCTGACCTTGGCTCGTACGAGGCGATGGTCGGAGTCTGTTTCAAAACTGGGTACGACGGCGAAGGCGAGAAGTCTCCATTACCGGTGCGTGACAATGTGGTCGATCTCCTTGTGGACGTCTCCGTTTGGAGATTCACAGGTCCATCTATTCCTTTCTGGTTTCTCGAACAGGTTGTGAAAGAGTTTTTAGGTTTCAAGAAGGTCGTTGAGTCTGTCTGAGTTCCTAGTTCCGAGTCCGTGGCACCAGTGTCTTGAAGGGATGTCGCTTTTTCCCAAGATTGCGTTGAAGACTCCCATGACATAGATGTAGTTGCCTTCCCTAATTCCCAACGTTTCTGAACCGTTATCATGCAGAAACTGACTGGTAACTGGAAATTCGAATCGCCGTGTTGGAATTTTCTTTGATCACTCCAACACACAAGGCAACTGCGTTGTTCAGTCAGATTTTCTTGCTATTTTTGCATTTTCCTGTGATAAATATCCGTTTTGAGTTTTTTTAGTTGAATGAGAAAACTTTAGAACCTATCGTCATGACTTTATTCCATTCGAATACGCCGAAAGAAGCGATGCAAAAGAGCAAATTCAGTAAAATGCCCTTTTCAGTTCTAAATTATTGTCAAATCAAGTTTTTTCTGTGTCTATTATTTTTTAGGCTCTTATGAAGACTACATGAACTCAATTCAGTTGATAGAAACTGACTATCAACATGAAAAACGCCTAAAAACGGGCTCACGCCTAAAGTTCCGCTTTGCGTCGAGTGCACGCATAAAACTTCCTCCCCTTTTCTCTCTTTTCAAATTTCACACGCAGTTTTCATTTCTTTTATGTTTTTCATTTTGATTTATTGTTTTTTATGTTATTTTCTTCTTTCCAATCGGAATGTTCAATAGTTTCCAACGCTTCTGAAGTAGTTGCATGCGAAAACTGACTGATAACTCAAAATTATGGCCAGCACTTGATATTTAACGGTTTTTGGCTTTATTTTAACAAAAATAAAGCTTTTTCCATTCAGTTTTTTGCACATTTAAGTCTATTTCTATAGTCAGAGTTCAACTTGTGATAATTTCATGTTGTAATGAATGATGAAAAAGTTCAAATTTCGATTTTTGTAGCTTGGACAGCTAGTCGAATTTCCCCTTGTTTTTTTTTGCTTGATCTGTCACAATATTGATTAGGAAGTATCTTATTATATTGAGTAACATGGATCAAACACTGTGAGTGGAGTGAAAACTTGTTTTCCAGTTAGTAATAACTTTTTCCCTGAGCTCCCGCTGGTAAAAAGTGCCGCTGAGCCAATACATTTTTTGAAAATGCGTTCAGCCAAAAATTTTCTATCCATCAGGTGTTTTTTTCACATCTGATACCACGGTGATCTGTTTCAGTCTGACAAAGCTTTTTAGCGGTGTATCAAAATTTTTTACCCTTGAAATCAGCCGAAAAAAAACTCTCCACTCTTTGGTTTAAGGCCGATACTTATAAATCCGGTGTTAAAAAATCTCATTGACAGTTTTCTAACTTCCGAAATACAGAAAATCAACCACAAGTAGTCACTGGTTGTTATTAAATTAGTAATAATGTAGAATTATCTGAATTCGAACCATCCTGTTTGAATTTCCTATGCACAGAGCGATGCACTAGGCAACTGCTCTGTTCATTTGGATTTTTCTTGCTGTTTTTGCTTTTTTCTGTGATAAATATCAACTTTTAGTTCTGTTGATTGAATAAAGAGACTTTAAAACTTATCGTCATGACTTTATTCCATTCGAATACGCCATAAAAAGCGGTGCAAAAGAGCGAACTCCGTTAAATGCCTTTCAATGCCCATTTTCGTTCCGAATCACAGTCAAATCAAGTTTTTTCTGTGTCTATTATTTTTCTGGGCCCATATAATTTCTATATGAACCCAATTCAAGTAAAAGAAACTGACTTCCAACATGAAAAACACCCAAAAACGGGCTTACGCCTAAAGTTCCGCTTTGCGTCGAGTGCACGCATAACACTTCCTCCCCTTCTCTTTCTTTTCAAATTTCCCACGCAGTTTTCATTTCTTTCATGTTTTTCTTTCTGATTTATTGTTTTTGTTATTTTCTTCTTTCCAATCGAAATGTTCAATAGTTTCCAACGTTTCTGAAGTAGTTGCATGCGAAAACTGACTGATAACTCGAAATTCTGGCCAGCACTTGATATTTTTTTCAGTTTTTTGGCCTCATTTCAACTAAAATAAAGCTTTTTTTCCATTCAGTTTTTTTGCACATTTAAGACTATTTCTGTGGTCAAAGTTTAATTTTTTTATAATTTTATGTCGTTTTAAATGATGAAAAAAGTATAACATTCGATTTTTGCAACTTTGACAGCTAGTCGAATTTTCACTGCGTAATCTGTCACAATATCGCATAGGGAGCATCTCTATAGGTATAAAAACAGTCCGTCAAAAAACGAAGATTTTTTAAAATGTATTAGAAACTTGTTCTCGAATCCAAAAAAACCTTTTCCCCGGAGTTGTTACAAAAAAGGCAAATCGGTAATTAAATTCAGTTTCTTTCTGTAATTTCGGCGTTTTTATGTGAATAATAATAACTAACAGTGCAGTTAGAAGTATTAAATTATTCAAAGACAGAGTCTCATAAAGCCTGCATCATTCAAATACGCCGGAAAAGCCATCAGCAAAGAGAAACTTTTGTGAAAAGCCTTTTAATGCCCTTTTTCGTTCCGAAACACAGTCAAATCAAGTTTTTTCTGTGTATATTATTTTTGTAGGCTCATATAATTTTCATGTAAACTCAATTTGAGTGATAGAAACTGACTTCCAACATGAAAAGGGCCCAAAAACGGGCTTACGCCTAAAGTTCCGCTTTGCGTCGAGTGCACGCATAACACTTCCTCCCCTTCTCTCTCTTCTCAAATTTCACACGCAGTTTTGATTTCTTTCATGTTTTTTTCATTTCGATTTATTATTTTTTTATGTTATTTTTCTTCTTTCCAATCGGAATGTTCAATAGTTTCCAACGTTTCTGAAGTAGTTGCATGCAAAAAATGACTGGTTACTCAAATTTCTGGCCAGCGCTTGATATTTAACGGTTTTTGGCTTTATTTAAACAAGACATAAGCTTTTTTCATTCAGTTTTCTGCCCTGTTGATTTGAATTTTATGATTAACATTCAGTTTTCAATAATTTCACACAGTTCAGATTAGAATAATGAACTTACGACTTCGATTTCTGCAACTTTGAACTCTGACCAAGTTTTTCATTATATTTCATAGGGTAACTAGTACAAACGTTTATGAAAATAATTTCTCTCTATCAATTCAGTTCATTAATATAATTCGAAAATAGTAAAAACATAACTCTGTAGCAAAAAAAATAACTCTCTGAACGAGTTTCGAGCTGTGAGTCAAGTATTCGTTGCGCTAGAACGTCCTCATGTTTTAATTTGTTCGAAATGGTGCAGCGTTTTTATTGAAATTGAATAGAACAATGTTTGAATCTAATAACCGTTTCTGAAATAGAACAGTGCTCACGTCTCAAGTCCAACTTATCGTTTTCGTTCTAAAATTTCTTGAGAAATTGAACTAACGCGTCTGTTTTCAGTGCTGCACGATGTCCGCCACAGACGCTAGCTTTATGAAAAGTACTCAGGCAAGCAGATCGAGGAAAGGTAAGTTCACTTTAAAAAAAAAGTGTGATAAAATAAGTTATCTGTGAAAAAATTGTCTGGTTTGATTAGTTTTCTGAGGTGAAAAAAAAATAACTTCGCTCGACTACTGCAAATGTTGAATTTCAGAACGTCGCTCGTCTTTCCTATACGGAATAAACGAAGATGGAGACGTCGTCATCACTGGTAATATTTTGATTCATATTTCCCCCGGAAAAAAGTTGTTTTATATGAAAAGTAGTAACATAAAAGTTGTCTTTCCTGCTGTTACAATAGAAAGCGACACCAAAAAGCTTGTAATGGATATAATTTTTTTCGAAGCATTCGAGATTTGGTGATAATAACTTGGAAATCGAGCTTATGGAAAATATTTCACAAAAAAATAAAATGAAAAAAACAGAAACTGACTTCATTTATTTCCAGGCCAGCAACGTCGATCTCGCTCTTATGCTCAACGCGGAGTCAAGGCTCAGACCACACGAGCTAAAAGCGCAATGCCGAAGTTGAACGGAGCTCCCTGCCTGCCTTCCGCAAAAGGTGAGTTCCAGTACTCAAAAAGAAATGAATAGTGTGTTTGGAAATACTATGAACCAAATAATAAAAGTTACTTCTCCTTTATAGTAAGAACTTGAACTGAGTTGTCTCAGGCAAGATCAAGAAGAACGTTGGTCGTCGATCGCGATCTGCTGGCCCACGTCCAGAGCCAATCGTCCGCCGGAACCGCCCGACATCTGTGGGGAGCAAGCAAATCTCCAGTAAGTTTTTTCTCGAAAGAAAAGATTGAGATTGAAACTGCAAAGCACAATTATTTTTGCATTTTCTGGTTAGTTTGGTCAGATAATTACAACTTTTTCAGTTTTCATTTTGAGCCAGAATTTTTGCAGAGATTCAACTAGAGATAACTCTGTAGCCTTCTGAGGGGTAATGAAAATAAGAGTACTCTCACGAAAATCAGATTTTTGCAAGGTTCAGTTTGACCACAAATAAGTTTCCTTTAATTTCAGTCATGATAGAATTATTTTCATTCCAACTTTTTCCTAACAACGTTTCATCTATTGAGTACTGCACTCAAAAGTCGTTTTTTTTTCGTGATATCAAAAGGTTTTTGTTCCGGGTGGAAGGAAAAAAAGAGAAATCATTTTTGCAGTCGCACCTGCGAGTGGTGCCAATGCGCCATTGGTTTCCATGAAGATAGCGGCAGTCGGACAAAAGAACCCAGTGCCATCCACGGACCTTATACCCGTGAATGGTACCGTCAGCAACAAACCAAGCAGTTATACAGGTAAAAATTCTTCTATTTCTGATATCTTCAGAAAAATCGGGATGGGAAAGCCAATAAGAAAATTTGCAATAAAAATTTGTTTTGGACGCCTGTGTATGATTCTTTTCCAAACATTTAAACAAAGGTCATGTCTCCGAAATCTGAGAACAAACTTTCTCTTGCCAGAGAAAAATTCCGTAGAAATGAACTGTTTTTGCAGGATGCGATCTTTCGGGGATTCAAGACAGTCGCACTGAACTCGCCAATGAGTTCGGTACCAGCAACGGGCTTGACTCCCGTTGCTGGCGGCCAACCAGGTTAGTTAAAAAAATAAATTTCAAAATAAAAAAATATCGATAAATTCCCAAACAACATTTGCGAAAATTTTTTTGTAAAGTAACAAAAACCATAATCCTTACAGTTATAGAAAATTCTGAGACTCTGAAAAATTATATATAAATTATTCTGAAGCAGTGGAGGATCAGAAAAAAATATAATGTTTCAGAAAGCTGCCAAGAAGAATCCGAGACGGCGGAACGAGAAGGACCAAAGTCGGACCTGATTCCCGACAATGGTCTGAAAAACTAAACCAGTCCCATCATATGCACGCGCTACAGCTTCGTCGATGAACAGAGCAAAAAGGTTTTGATTTTTTTCCATTAAACAGTTTGGTAAGCTATACAAAAATAATTCTGCAAAATTTATATATTTTTCTGAAAAACATTTTTTTCTCACGAAAAAAAGCTCAATAATTCCTATCGAATTTGGTTGATGCAACTATCAAAAAAAGCTATTATGCGAAAAAAATTCTTTATCTTCTCGCCTGTAAAGTACGGAGATTGAATATTTAAAAAAACAAATTTTTTTCAGATCGTACGGCTTCATATATGCACGGTCTCATGAAAGGATCGATAGTCAAAACTCGAAAAATTCGTGAGTGACATTTGTTAAGATATAGAAACTTTTTGAAGACCAAAAAAGGAAAAAAATTACAGAAACAGTCCTTTTACTCTCAGGAACTCGAAAATTTATGACTTTTAGTGACTCTGGTAAACTTTATAACACCGAAACGAACAGTTGGGCAAGAATTGCAAGAATTACTCGTCATTGATAATAATCCGAACATGTTTTTTTGAAATTGGATACTCGAAAATAAACTTCTGAAAGAGAAAAACATCAGAAATTATAATAAACTATCGCATATTATTGTGTAGCAAATAATCAAAGTTTGAAAAGAACAAAATATTTCAGGTCGATCACGTTCAGCCGGTAAAGTCGACCCGAAAAAGACCACCGTACCAGTAAGGAGATCGCAAAGTGTTGGTGAGTAATTCGAAACAGTTTTGTATAGTGTTTACTTGAAAAAACTGAAAAAATGATTTGTCCTCACTTTTTTGATCATGATTTCGAGAGATAAAAGAGCATCCAGCCTTTAAAATTGATTGCGAAAATGTAAATTATTATGTTTCATACAACTTTTCTCCGACTGGAGCTTGTTATCATGAAACCTTTTACAGCCTAAAAATGGTGTAGAGAATATTTTTTCAGCACAAGTCAAAAAAGGCGCCAACGAAAAGCCGGCATTGGAGGCAAAAGCCGCGCCACCCAGAAAGAGACAATCTCCTCTCAAAGTCACCCCCTCGACGAAAGGTTGATATTTCGCGATATTTCAAGACAATTCAAACTCCAAAAGTCTGATAAATCACAAGTCTTCTAGTTGCTCAGACTTTTTCGGAACTTTCACTCAATTTTTCCTTTAAAACTTCAAATAGAAAGAAACTTGTGAGGCGTTCATATAACGTTTCCATAAACGTTTAGTGCAGAAAGAAGAGGAATTTGAGTTGAGACTCGAAAAACTTTTCATTCCATTCTTGGTTTCTAGTTTTTTTTTTCTATTAGTTACGATAGTTTATTAAAAATGTTGTAACGGAAAAGAGTCCAAAAAAAGTCGTCTACGTAGTTTTCCGTGACTTTCGAACAAATAATACAGTGTAAAATTTTTTTGATTAAGAAACTTCAATTTCAGAAAATGAGTACGTACCGCCGACGAAGAAACCGTCACCTTATCCTTGTACTATCACCAAAAAGAGGTGAGTTTCAATTGATATTGCATTTTTCCGGAGAATTTTTGAGTTTTTTTGGGCTTTTTAATTGATTAAATCTCGCTTGAGAAGAAAAAGTGAGATGAACCTAATCCAACTTAATTTCAGTCGTCCCCAAATTGACGCCATACGCAGCAGTTCACCCTCATATGCCAGGTACTGATTAAAACTTAAAATGAAAAATATTCATTTTTTTGATACAAAAAGTTTTTTTACCCAAAGTTTCACGTGCGAAAAAAAATTAGCATCAACTTCCGATCTCTTTTTAAGTCTATGACAAAATCAAAAAAACAATGCCTCTTTTGCAGAAACTCAAAAAAACGTCTGTGAAGTCGCCTACAAAGGCCCATACGAGATCCTATGTCTCACCGAAGACAGTTTTTTTGTCCCTAGGCCCCTCACTCGATCGGAACGCCATTTGCAAGGTCGAGGTACGCGTGAATTTCCTTTCTTGGTTCTTACTTCGAAAAAGCGGAACAACTTGGAAAGCCCAAGAAGTTTTTGCTTATGAAACTTCAAACGAACAAAAAAATAATTAACATTTTTTTCAGATCGGGACCAACATTTTTTTGCCTCGAAGAGTTCGACATGAACAACGAGAGGAACAAGATTCTTTAATTCAGCAAGGTAAAAAAATGATAGTTTTTCACTGTCGTTTTTTTAATAAAAATTTTTTTCGTCTTTCTAGTTTTTTTAATAACGCAGAATTTCAAACACAAAGCGAATGAGTTCCTTGATGAGAAGGGGGAACATACGGAAATTCAAACGGAAGGGAATGATTTAAAATTTAGTTCAGTTGGATGAGGATGAAACATTCGTTTGGGTGAATGACACTGTTCTTACTTTGGTACGAAAATGCGGATTTCGATCATTTTCTGATTGATTCGGAAATTCTTTTTCATAGGAAAACTCAGGAACTTCTTGTGGTTTAGGTGTTTTTGAGAAAAATTGTCTCGTCCTAAATTCAATATTGATTCAGTGGCTTGGAAATAGCCATTTCGAGAAAGATTGAGATTACTGGTCGATTCCGCGAATTTTCTGAAGTCTTCTTGATTGTTTTCTGATGGATGTAGTCGGGCATCAAAATTGGTACTCACCCGGTTGGATTTTTTGAAAATCAAGTCGCAAAATACTACTCGATGGTCCACAGTTTCTCTTCTCAACATCATGAGAATAAAAATAAAAGGCTCGCTTGAAAGGTCAGAATGTGACGGCCAAATAAAACATAGTTGAATCTCGACTTCGCTATGTTTCCAAAAAGAAGGCTCCCAAATTTCACCGTTGACATAAAAATATATTTCCTTCATGGCTTTGCGAATCGTTGTCGTCCAGAAGTTTTCGAAAAGTCACATCGAAACTGTTTTCTTTTTTGGGAGCTGCAGGACTCATGAACTCTTAACGAGAATCTGAATGATAATGATTGATATAAAAAAAAGAAAGTTTTTTGACTGGTGGAGAGGGCGGAAGTCACAGGCCAGCCGCCAACAGATTGTAACTGTCCTTCGGAATTTTCCCCGCCTTCATTCACAAAATTTCTGAAATCCTAGGTTTTCATTTCCCTCGAGTGGCTGGGAATTTTCTGAAAATTGACCAAAAATTCCTCGATGTACCTCAAAACTGCTTTCTCTGGTTTTTAGGAAACGAGGGTTCAAAGTCTGAAATTGGTCTCTTTGAGCGGCTTTTGATGGTTTTTCTTCATTTTGGATTTTGTTTTGTGTAAGCTAGGAATTTCGACAGGTTGAGAGTTTGAGGGTATTCATCTGATGAATCAAAAAGTTGCCTGGCCTATTCTCAGAAGATGCCTAAAAATAAAGTATAAAGACCTTCTTTGTAATATAGAGCTTTTTTTTTGCAAATTTTGGATAAAAAGTTGTAGCTGGTTCTTTTTCAGGGATAGTTTTCTTGAATTGGAAAAATGTTCCTCTTGAAAATTAGATAAAGTTGTCAGGCTGAGATTTTCAGGATCTTTATCAGGTTCATCAAAAATTTTTTTCCAGGCCTAACATGAAATATTATTAATAATATTATCATTATCTTATCTTTACCACCCTAGAGGCCAATCTTCATTTCGACTCTCTCACGAGTTTTTAATTGACCTCATCATCCCTTGCCGTACTGTTCCAACATGAGGAAGGAGCGGATCGTTAGAACGGTGAGAAGCCGTCAACCATTATCACAATGCGAAATGTTTCACGCACCGTACTTGAACAACGAGAGCTTCGTGAACCGACGAAAAAAGAACCATTTTTTTGATTCAGCTGAGAATCTTCTCTGAAGATTTGATGAGTGTGAAATGTAAGAGTAACATCAAGGGAAATGGCCTTTCGTGTAAGCTCAATTCCGCGAGCTGTTGCGAAAGAATGGTAGCTGGTCAGTGAGTTGGAGGAGCCGGCGTCCGTGCGAGAGATGTCGCTGCGAGGCTCGCCGCACGTGTTTTCGTGAGCGCCGTGTTTACCGTTGCTATTCTCGGCTCGCGAGCCTCCAAATCTGGACATCCGTTCGACTCCATTGCCTCTGACCCGTTGCTGTTCCTTCGTGTTTTCTAACTTTACCGATTTCTGTGGAATCTCTATTGATTCTCGAAATGGTTCCAGGTGGTTTATGCCCTTTATTCTTTTTTTTTCGATTCATAGCATTCGGAACTGTTCACTCAGAGATTTTAAGTTTATTTCTTTTAGACAATCATTCAAAATTCTCGAGTTTATGTATTTCTGAAATAAAATTCACCCTATTTTTCAATTTTTTTCGTCTCAAGCGATAAATAATCTTTTTAAGTAAACATTTAAATATTGTCGACTAAACAGTTATTAACAACACGTTCCACTCGCCTTATTCATTCACTCGTTTTGTTATTGTTTTACTTCCGCTTCTCCGAATTTTTGTGTGATGTTTCTTTCTATAATGTTAGAAATTTTTTTACGTCTTTTTTTCTTGATTAGTACAAAAATACAAAGAGGCTCCCTCCGGTTTCAAAAAAACTAAGTTTCTACTTGGAAAAAAACTCTTTTCAGAATATTCATGAAAAATTTTTTTCCCTTTTTTTGATTTTTCAGTTTTTTTAAGAGTTTGAATGACTTTAGTTATCCTTCAGCTTCAAAATCTTGTTTAACGTTTGAAACGGTTTTCTTTTTTTCATGAAATGCATTGTCCTGTTGATTTTTTTAGTTGTTTGCCCAGCTGTCGTTTAACCTCACTCGCCGGGAAAACAGCGGATCATCGTTTCGGCCGCTTTTTATTACTATTTTTCATCTTCGATTTGTGGAATTTCATAAAATTTCTTTTGATTACTGATGTTTAAAAGGTTTTTTTTATGAAAATATTTTTTAATCTGCGCTTGAAGGCTTCTGGTAAGTTGTCAGTCAAAAAAAAAGTGAGAAAACTTTGAATAATCCGAAATCGGGTTTCGTATTAAGACAAAATGACAATTTTGATTGTGTTATGTAAAATGCTCGGAACTCCGTAAAATTCTTTCTGGTGTCCAATTTACTTTTGGATTATCGTACTATTCTTTGAACAACTGACCTGAATATTTTTTGAGCTCAAACAACTATCAATACGACAAGAATGATACGTCAATTTTCGACTTTTTCAAAAAATTTTCCTACCAATGAATATACAAAAATAAAAGCTTTTTTGCGAAAAATTCCAAAAATTCCTTATACAGTCATTGTTTCAGCAATGATTGGGAATTTGAATGAGAATTTCGTGATTTTTCTGTTTATTCTGTAATATTCAAAGAACAATGTTCGAAAGTAAAAAAACGTGTTGAGAAAAAAACCATAAATTTCATAGAAACATAATCAGAACGACCTGGAAAAACCTTATTGTTTTTTTAATACTTTGTTATGCCAAACCGCTCACCACTTTTTTCCCCATCAGTTCTATTTTTCTGAACTATAATAATAATCAATCTTCTTTATCAGATACGTAAGTGTGAAAATGTCCTGGTCACTAACCAAATTGGCTGAATTTTGTCGAGTGAGCCTTCCGATTCGAGCAGACTGAGGTTGGCAATTTGAAACCATCGCGCAGCTGCTTTAATTGCCGGGCTTATGATGCGCTGTCTAGTAGCTAATACGGATGATTGTTCGTCGGCAGGTATTTGTTCTAAAAATCAGCTACTTCTCACGTTTCTGACTCCTGAATCTTCTAAAATCGGACAGCGACAGGTGGAGAACCTAATCTGCTTCGTAACAGTCATTTTTTTCAATTCACTGTGATAATTGCGTTGACTGAGAAGTTTGGTGAATTTCGAAAATATTCAAAGTTCAGCAAATCTCAGCGCTCAAGAAACATACTGAGGTATTTTAAACACACTAAGCATAATCTTGGACTTCAACGGGAAGTAGCTAAGAAATATATTCATATTTTTTTTCGCAAAAACTTTTTGACGATTTTCTGACAGTTTGGAAATGTCCTATACTTCATTCGGCGTTTTCCAGATTTCTAAGTTCGATTTTTGCCCTCATGCCACTGTATCTTCGAATTTTCGAATTTTCAAATTCAAAAGCCACGTATTAGGGCATTCCGCCTCCGAATAATGCTCAGACATTGGCGTCATCGGTCGGCGCAAAAAAGGCGGCGACTGAGTAGAGCAACTTTTGCTAATCAAAAAACATCCCGCAACATCATACACGCAATTTCCCTGCTCAACTCTTGAGCATGCTTCCTTTTGAAAAAAAAATGCTGAACTTGGTGCGCGATAACCTTGAGTTTTACAAAAAAAAAGGTTTTGCAATTTCGATCTTTGACCGAAAAAAAATCTTCTTCCAGAAAGTTTGGCACATTCAATCAAATATCACGGAGAGTTCAATAACTAATGAACTTGAAAAACGCGTATTCAAAAAGTTTTTCGAAATGAAGCCCTACTCCGGAGGATTTCTGATCTCTTGAACGAACATGAAGCCCTGTGAAAATTTTTTGCACAGCCCTTTTAGGTTTCCTTTTCGCTTTTTCGCTTCTTTCGCCTATTTTTTGAACCTTGCTCTATGATTCTGAACAGGAAGTAAACAGCCAGAATAAAGTCCTAAAATGTTTATTTTTCGTAAAAAAAATTTTCGGATTTTCCAATCAGCCATCACATTGAAATTTGATTTAATTTTTGAATTTTTTTGAATAAGAAAAAAATGTTCTCAGTATAGTAATATTTAGTGTAAAGTGTATTATGAATAGTTTAGAAATTTCTGCTATGAACTTCGGAGAGAAATTGTACAACTGTGCGGTTACTAAAAGTCCAAGATGCCACGGCAAATCATCATTGGAGACTTAATAAAACGTGAAAAAAGCCTTATTTTCTTGAGTCAGCGTTTCACAGTTTCTATCAATCTTTAAATCTTCAGTTTCTTGGAAATTTACTGATATTTTCGAATATCTTCTAGAATATACAAGGAAAAGTTTGATTTAAAAGTCACCGGAACCTTTTTCCAATTATTTTTAATTCAAAATTTTAAGTCCTGCAAAAGGGTTCGGTTTCTTTTTATACATCAGCGCATTAAAAGCGAGAAATTTTTTTAGAAATTTTTTTGACCTTTTTTTAATAATTCTTGGCAATTTATCATCGAAGAACTTTACGAAAAAGTCAAAATTGACGAAATGGCGAGCTCAATTTTCTTTTGTTCTCTATTTTTCTTCTTTATCTTGTCCAAGTTCGTGTTTTTGTTGTTACTCGGTGTTTTCGTAGCGATGCTCAAAACAGAAATCTTTCATTTCGCGTGAACTTTCAGTGCATGGAAACGCCCATTTTCGACATTTCAAGGCCAGTTTCTGTCACGGAGGATGCTTTAGTATTTTTGGTGACCGTCAAAATTTTCGACCACCTTTTGTCTGCTGATTATCCAGGGACACTATCACATGGCTTCTGTTTTTCGAGCTCTTTTTCCAGGTTCGCATGATTTTTCAGCGTGTCTGGCTGTATTTTTCCGGGAACGTTGCCGCTTTCTCAAGACTGGAAAACTTTATTTCAAACTTTCATTGTTGGATGAGAAAAAGATGGAAAAAAATTCATAAGATTCATTTTTGCTCAACAGTGTTAGGTAAATTTTTTTATTTTTGAATAAAAAAATTGATCTAATTTAAGCTAAAAATAGAACTGGGACGACCTATTGGTTCAAGATTTTTCATTCTTGTTTTGAATTTTTGATCAGGATTCTTTTTTTTTTTGATCCGTGACTTTTGCTTTTTTGCCTCAGGTGTCTTTCCCCTAGCGTTGAGAAATTTCGACTTTCACTATTTATTTTTCCCGGCTCCATTTTTCTGGAGCTTCCAAAACTCTGGTCTCAAAGTGTTGAGATATCCCGTTTTCATCGAAGAGTTACAAAAATTTTCAAAAATTCCCACTTTTTTTCTCGTCCCAACTAACTCGAAACTCTAATGCCACTACGAGGACATCAAGCCAATTTATTACGGCACAACATTTGAGGCCCCAAGAAGACAATCGAGAAAGAAACCGAAATGCGCAAGGCGTTTAATGTGCAAATGAGTTTCGGGAAGGCTCTCCTTCGCATGCTTTTCGGCTCTCCCCAACGGCTGCCTCTCACTCAGCCCCAAACACGAGGAGATCCGCTTTACACTGGCTATTGGGCCGCGTTCAGAAGCCGCCGAAAGTTGGTTTACATGTAATTGGTTGCTTTGTCCGATTGTCTTTGGTCCCCAATTTGAAATCTGATGGGATTTCGGACAACCATATTTAGTTGTAACTTTTGATGAGCTTTGAGCTATGGAAATAATGGGAAAAATCTCAGTGGCCTGGTTGAACTTTGATCATGTCTTCGAAAGAAACGGTCAGAATTTCTGGATTTCAGAGTTCATCTTCTTATTTAAATTTTTTTCCGAGTGTTTGAAAGCTTTTAAAAATGTCAAAAATGTCTTTTAGGCTGTCAAAACCCTTTCGAAGAGATTTCAAAACTTTGTTTGTTTTATTTTTTTGAAGGCGACAAAATTCCATAATTTATGTTTTTTTTTTCAAAGCTTCGATGTTTTTCCTGGCATTTTATGACTTCGAAGTTGAATAAAAAACACTTGAAAGAAATTGAAAAAAGTAGGTTTTCTGTTCCGCGTTATCCTCTTAATTAGAACTCAGATGAAATGCCTTTATAAGGATGAATTTCTACGCAATCATCAAAGCTTCAAATTTACTTTGACTCGATGAACTTTGATTTTTGCGCTTCCAAAGTTTTCCGAGTCTTTAATCCTTCATCAATTTTTTTTCTTTAAGTTCATATCCAAACAAACTTTGACGTTTTGAACTTCATCAAAAACCCATCAACGTTCGCAAAAACTCTCTTTCCCAAATTAATCTGAGAGAATTTTTTGAGGTTTCAAACTTGATTAAAACCATTTTTCCAAAGTTCAGATCTTTTCCAGCACAATAATGCTAAATTAACTTCATCATTTGGAGTTTTTCTTGTTTCTTGAAGCATAATTATCGTTCATCTAAATCTCACTCAATTCCTCAACAAGATTGACAAATGGCCAGTTCAAAGTCCAATTGCATCGTATCACATTTCTGCACGGCTTTTTCTCATGCGAGAAATGTTTAGCGGCTTTTTTTTCCAAAATTTCGCTTGAAATCCAAATGTTTCTGATTTCTCCTTTATAGAGATCTCAAATGGTTTTGAGCTTTCCCACTGAGATTGAAAATTCTTTTCTAAATTTTCGAACGGACTTTTTCAAAACCACACTTGAAATTTGAATTTTCCAGATTCAATGGCTTCAAAAAAATTATTTTTGAAATAAACAAAACTATATTTTTTTCTACGTCTTCAGAATAATTTCAGCAAAAATATTTCCATAGGAGAAGGCGTTTATGAACCATCTGCACGAATTTTTGACCTTCAAAAAGCCGAAAAGAGTAATAAAACAGGTCATCGGCCTTCTTCCAAAACTGAAGGCGAACCCTTGACAGTTTTTTTGTCTTTTTTTGTGATATGAATGGTTAGAAAAGTTCCCGAATGAGTTCGAGCTTCGAAAATCAAACCAAAAAAACCGAATTTAAAAAAATCATTGTTTTATGGTCTTGTTATGAATACTTTTTTTGTCGTTTTATGTTCTTAAATACTGTTCAAATTGAATTTTGAAATTCATAACTGGTTCTTCTACTTGTTTCCGAAAATTCACAGTCAAGAAGGAAGGTAGTTTTACTCATAATCTTGCATTTTGCTGAGAAGAGGCTCGCGGCCCGGATGAAGATAGTTGCAGAGGGAATTCTTGAATTTTGGAGATTTTTTAAAAATTCATTTGCAACTTGGCCATGCTATTTATAAAAATCCCGTCTTAAAAAAAAACCCAAACTGCCTGAGGATTTCCTCCAAGCTTCAGAGATTCTTGGGACATTTGAGAACATTTCAAACCTTGACCGAAATGATTTTCCCTGTTGAAAAACTTCTGAAAAAGACGATTTTGGACTATTTTTGAATCGGAAAAAAAGCCGAAACAGACTCGCAATGCCTTTTTGCCGTGAAATCGACAGACCGCTTTGGTAGGATATTCACGGCACGGAGTTGAACGGAGAATGCGTTTGTGACCTCTTGGAGGTCACGCGTGGCCTCCCTTCGCCTCTCATTTCCACATTCGCCTCGTTCTCAAGAGCAGTTCTCGCAGCGATTCTCTGGTTTGTATTAATGATTACAGGCGCGCCGACAACCAACTGACAGTTTTATTTGTCTTATTCGTTCATTCATTTCATGGAAGTTTCTGAAGCAAGAAATCTCGACCGAATTTGCCATTTGAAGTCTCCTTGGAATTGCTTTTCGGCACGGATTTGACTGAGTAGGTGTTGTTGTTTTTCAGCCGCCTTCCCCCATTTGCTTTTGACCCAAAAACACGCGTTATTCGATTTTCCCTTTCTATTTTTTGCTAAATAACTAGAGCTGAAGTCGTATAGAGCTTCAAGAAAAAATAATTTACCGAGAAACTTAAAAAATTCTAGGAATAAGATCGTATAGTGCAGTATTTTTTAAGTTCTCAAAATACTGTGAAAATTGGAAATTTCTCTTGTCTGCAATTTTCCTATTTTTCGGGTATGAGTGTCAAGGTTTGGCGGCTGAGCTCTCAAAGCGTATGTTCTTTGAAACTAGGAAGTCTTGCAGGTTGAGGCTTCAAAGATCCTTATCCAATGCATGAAAGGGTGCGGAGGCTATTTTTTTGAAATTATCTTAAAAAAATTTTTCCTTGTGAATCTGACTGCATAAATGTTTAAAAAAATTTTTTTAAAATTTTTCAATTCTGTAATTTTTTTGAAAAGGGCTGACACTGTTGATCTTTCAGAATAAATCATTCAAAAAAATTTCTTTCTGCGCAATCTATGAATAAAAAAACTTCAAATTGAAAAATTGGAATTTTTTTGAGACTCGAAATCAAGTTGAAGTGATCCTTCTGTATAGAAAAAAATCCAGTCAAAAAAAGTTCAACGTAAATTTTCTCAATTTATGCATTTTTCAGTTCATTATCACTTCAAAATGACAACGACCAACTCTAAAACTTTGAATTTTCATCGCAATTCATCCAAAAACAACCTACCGTGAAGCAAAATAGCGGATTAAGCCTAAATGCCAAGATAAAAACTTCATTTTCGGGGAAAAATGGGATGTTTTGACCGAAAGGAAGATCTTCGGAAGGTCTGTTTTGACCAAATACGGCAAGCGAATTTGTTTGCGACCAGATGAGAGCTCGGAAACAAGTGGAGCAGGGCATAGAATGCGTGGTTTCGTGCTGATTTCCCGGCGCTTAATTCGTGAAAGCGTGTGTGTGTGTGTCGCGAGCCACCCACGTCATCTGACGCCGGCCCCAGGCGCTAACCTCTCGTCTTGTCTTTCCTTCTTCTTCAATTCTTCATGTTTCGCCTCTTTTCAAATTTTTTTCAGCTCTTAGAAATGGCATAATGCTTCTTTTCTTGTATGAGGTTTGCGAATTTCTTTCAAAAAACGCGGTTTTCATACTTGATATGCGAACTTTTTTTATGTCATTTCCAATCATTTGCGAGGTCAATTTCATTTCAAATCTCCCTTTGAATTTTTGGAATCTAACAATCTGACCCCTTTTCAAAAACTACAGTCTAGTAAATCTTGTGAAATCCCTGTTTTTTTTTTGGTAATTTTTTGAATTTCGTGATTTCCTTCATTATTTCTTTCTGTGAACAGCTTTAAAGCTTTCATCAGTCACTAATCTTTCAATTATTTTTTTCTCTTTTAAATCTTCCATTATTTAACTGTTCTTCTCGTACTTTGGTTTTTTAGGATTTTACGAAGATTTTCCAAGCAAAAGTTCTTGGTCAAATGATCAATTCTGATGATGAAGCTGTCACAGCTCGTGTGATGAAAAAAGTTAATGAAATTTTATTTTCTAACGGTTTTTCAACGATCCTCAGATGTTCTTCTCCAATTTCAAATAGGCGAGAAACCTGTGCGTTTGAGAACCTAAAAAAAACAGTTTAATGAGTCTTTGGCAACTTAAAAAAGCTAATTTTTGCCTTTTGTTTCTACCTTCCTTTTATATTTTTCTATTCTTCATCTCCTGCTTTTTTGATTCAATTCCTAACCCTGGTTTCAAGTTCAAAGTTTTGGGTATCCCTTTATTTGTCCAAAATGAAAAATGCTTTTCAAAAGAGTTTTTTTTTCTCAAATTTTATTCGCGAAATCAGTCGCTTAGGTTCGACAAAATGAGTCCTTGAGTGGAGTTACGGTAGCTACAATATATTTGCTTTGCCATTATATCAGTTAGAAAGTTGAAACTTCGTGTTTTTGTTTTTATTGTATTCAAATTTTCATTGCCTAAAGAACATTAAAAAAATTTTGGAAAATACAGGCTCTTGATAATTTTTACAGTTTGCAAGACTTTTCATTTTTTTTTATTTTATCTCAACGGGCGGTCAGCTTTGACTCGAATACTTGCCTTGATTTTTTTTCATCCTTTTCCATTTTTTTCTTGGGATTTGCAAAGTTCCTCTCAACTTCATTACACCCCAGAAAATATTTCTGTTTTTCACTTTTTTCTTTTCATAACTCAAGGTTTCCTTGGAGTAAAACCCGAGCCACTTGATTTTTGATGAAAAAAAAGCTGTCCCATGAATATTATATGAAGAATTCACATCACAGAATCTCACTTCCGACTGCTTTCAAAGCTGTTCTTCGATTTCTTTCTTCTGGAATTTTTTTTGACTCTCAAATTTCCGTGAATACGTTTAAACTGTTATAAAAAGTGTCTTATTTTTTTGGCTTGATGAAAAATTTGAGAAACTTGTAGAAGTTAGCTTCTTAAACTTCCCATGATTATTCATAAATGCTTTACCCGACTTTCAAAACTTTTGAAGCAAATATAAACAAATATCGCTAATAAATAACACGTTTTTCAAGGCGAAGCGCCAGCTTATGCCCTTGAAAATTTGAAAATTTTTGTTTTGTCCAACCAGACAACAGTGTTTTCAAGAGTTTCCTGAATATATTATAAGTTCAGTTTGCGCTATTTTTAAGCTTTCCAGTTTTTTTCCATCTGCTTTTCGAAGTTCAGTAACGCCCTCTGTGGTCTATCAAATGTTTTTCCTGTTTGATTCTTTGCTCATCAAATTCAATTTCGAGCTGTCTTGAAAGGTATTCCCAGTTTTCGCACTTGAAAACTCTAAAAAAAGGTTTGTTTTTTTGTTTTTTTCGGACATCTTTATGAGTTTTTCAAGTACTTCTTGAATAAATACCAAGGAATTTTGAGTTATTTCGAGCGATATAATTTGGCGGATTCGTGCTAAAAGTTTTGTGAAAAATCGTCGAGAGGAGGCTTCCATTTTTTACAGGAAACATAAAACTGGCTTCAAAATCTGCCATGAAGCGTTGACGCGCAGAAATTATATCTCTCGAGAGCTTCACGAATGACGAAAGTGGCCTTTCCGTTTTGCTAAACGTTTTTGCATGTTTTTGATCATTTCTCTTGCGGAAAAAGAAAAAAAAGCCTCTTTGCTTCAATGCCAGTTCATTTTCCTGCCAACTTTAATTCCGTGTTTCCTTGGGGAGAATTTGGTAGCTTAGTTACCAGATTTGTTAGCGCTTGACGTCCGATGAGAGCCCGGAATGGGATTTAGCGGTCTTTTGGGGACACACCGCCGCGGATTCATGAATTTTTAAGCGAAGTGCGTTCGCCTCGCCGATTGCAATCTTTCTTCTGCCGTCGTCCTTTAGAAACAAACACCTTTTCAGGCCACAATACGGTATCAAATTACACAGCCGCTGAAGTGTTTCTCCAAGACTTTGTAGTCATATTTCTGAGAAAAAACTCTTTTCGCGACTTCTAAGCTTAAAGTTCGATTCAACTCACACTTTTCTGACCGAGCGGAAATGAATTCGGGTAACCTTCTCTTGTGCAGAGAACATCCCACGCGATTATTTTTTTCTGCAAAGTTGAAAAAAACATATTTTTTTGTGAATTAATCATTTTTTTGCAATTTGACTTTGAATCTGAAATTGCCCTGTGAACATCCCACGCGGCTTCTGTTGAGAAATACCATTTGAAATGGGAAAACATATTTTTTTAATTAATCTTTACCATCCACTCAACCAGAGTATAAATTGCTATTTGATCTCCTTTCTTTGGTTTCGGCTACTCAGTTCAGCGTGAAAATTTGCAGCAAACTTCCCACTCACCTTTTTTTGCCCCAAAATTTTTTTATTATCAAAAAAATATTTTTCGAAATTACTCATTCCCATCCACCAAACCATAGAGCAGGTCGCTCTTTTATTTTGGTGTTTTTCGCTTCATGAAGAGTATATTCCGGGTTCTACCTTCGAAAAAACAACTTCTTGTCCTTTTTGTCAAAAGATCACTTCACAAATGAAACACACTGACTTCAAGCTCATAGTTCGGTATTCAGTTGAAATCATTGTCTAAATGAAAGCCAGTATCATCGGAGGAGATTTAAACAGGTGTTTTCGACTATTTTTTTGCCATTGCATTCTTTGAGCAGGTGTTCCAGACTTTTTTCGAAGTCTTCATTGCCTCATCGCTATTTTTCTCTATTTGTTGAGCTAAGGTCCAGTTCTCGAAACCGTTCGACTTTGATTCAATCGGTCTGTTTCATTTTTCATTTATTAATAAGGCTGATTACGGTATAAAATAATTTTGTGAGAAAAAAAAGTCAAGATTTAATCAGAGGAAGGTGACAAGTGAAAATTCTACCAACTCGTGATACAAGAGCAAATAATAAACTTATTCCCGTCTCCGGCAAGATTGAACTTCTGATTTTCAGAGCCCTAGACGGAAATTTTTCAGGCACCTCAATCAGGAAGAGAAACTTTTCTTGAGGCGGTAAATTCTAGTTGTCTGGTTATCGGTAACACTTTTAATAAACTTAGTGCGAGTATGTGAGTTTGAAGGAGTGCCAAAGCTTTTCAAAAAATAACTAAAGTAGGCAACTAAGCCAAACAGTATTGAAAAATTGAAAGAAGTGTTTGAAAAATTGTCTTCAAAGTCTTTGAAACAAAAAATTTTTTTTAATTTTTTGAAAATTTTTAGTTGATTACATTGATGGAGTTTTATTCTCTTGGCCGCTGTCTTCTTGAATTCAATTTTCGAAGACAACGGTAGATGGAAAATCCCTTTTTTTTTATTTCCAAATAAGTTTGGACACAGTGTTTTTTCGTGGTTTCACTGTGCACAGAACCAATAGGACCATGTTTTTTGGTGTTTGCTTTCTTTTTTGTCTTTGAAGCGTCCAGTAAGTTCAAGTCGTTGTACAGCCGTTTCTGAACCCTTCAAAAATCTTTTTCTTTGACTTCATTATCAGAAAAGTAGCAAAAGTAGTTGAATGAAAGTTGAATTGGATTTTTCAACAATGTTGAAGGAAGTAAAGTCATTTCAGCACTTTTTTTAGCTGTCAAAATAGCCACTAAGGCCAAACCTGTGTTTTCGTGATGATTTTTCCATTATACTATTTTTTCCCCCGAAATTTCGGAAAAAAAATACTTAGAAAAGGCCTGTAAAATCAAATTCCGGCTGCATCATCTTCGTAATTAGTTTTAAGGAAGTGAGGAATTAGTTACGTGTTTGAAATAGGAATAAAATAGAAAATCACAACAAAAACGTGTAAAATGATCGGAAGTTTGAGATATTTCTTATTCTGAAGTCAGGAAATTGATGACTTT